TGACAGCGGAAATAGTCTGCTTCAGGCTTAAGACCGGAGGCGGAGCACACCTCTCATGCCACGGAACAAAAGGCATTTTGAAGCCAGACTGAGACAGCAAAAAAAAACTGTTGTTGTATGGGTGTCAGTGATATACTATTGAAATATGACATTTACTTTAAGGTTTAAGACTTTTTTGCTGGTGTTTACATCCAAACTTTCATGCATGACTGGCAGATGCTCTCACTGCTGGGTGCTGGCCCATATTCATACATAAGCATCTGAAAAATTAGATACTCTACAGTAACACTATGATTTGTTTATCATTTTTTAACTGTGCCCCTTCTCGTAACTATGTTCTGCCTTAAAAGTGTCTGCCGTCCAGGCATGTTTTGTACTGTATGTACAAATCATAATCATCAGCATTGAAGCGTATGGGATGTTCTGATGTCATATCATTAAAAATCAAGCTCTTAATCACTAGGGTGGGGTGATGTCTTCAGTTTCATGCCTTTAATTTATCTTTTTGTATCATTTTATTTGATTTGAAAGTTCAAGATCATGAGATGTGACAAGACTAGTGAAGATCAGTAGGCGGAACTATGGTCATGAGTACCCAAATATAGGAACGTTCCCATTTTTGGGAACGGAGTTCCCAAATATGGGAACGGGCGTTCCCATTTATGAGAACGGAAGGCAATTTTTCGGCCGTTCGCCCACTAAAACTCAAAAGTGCATCACGTCTCAAAAAAGTGCACGCTGATTTAAGTATCTACTAAATCTCCATAAAGTTATCTTTAATCTGACCGTGGAACAAGGAAATTGACCGTGGAATGATATTTTTAATGATTTTTTAAAAATGACAGAATGGTGGAAATATGGGTTATACGACATTTAACATGCAATTTTAAGGAAAATGAAGCATTTTTTACATTTTGAGGTCAAGTATAATAATTTTCGCCTGGTTATGAAGTTTCATTCTAGCGACACCAGATGCTGACATATGCAAGCGAACACGCGGACAGTCCCGAGGTAATATTGTTGACTTTTGGTGTCGGGGCGATCGACCGCGTGAAACGTCAGTGATTTTACCGAACTACTGTTGTAAACTCAGTTTCAGTGGTTTAAAATCATTCAGCTGTATTTTATCAGCCCTGAAAGACATATTTTATTTGGATGCTAGCTGTTTAGCGTTGTTTTATAAGCAGCGTCATGAGCGTGGTTTTTGTCTTCGGCGTTTCTAAGCATGATCGTTTGGGGGGAATTTCTCTGATATAGGTCGCTCTGTGTGGCTTATTTATAATTTTTATGCTGATTTCGATCATTCCTCGTGCCCATCCTACCAGGCCTTTTGCCACTTACACTCATTAAGAAAGGAAAAAACTAGATTTTCATTGGGACTAGGTGTTTTGAGGGTGTAACATATTCAGCGTTCCCATTTTTGGATACTTCTTGTGCTCGTCAACTCTCGGTGATTAGCAGACAGGTGCTTGACATGTCTCCACCCTCGGCACGGACGGTGGATATAGGTATGGAAGACCTTGCTGAACATCGCTGAGCGTTGTGGATTACGTAATCCTGCAGAGGGGGGCGTGCCCGCTGCGAGATCGACGGGAATAAAAGCGCAGAAGACCGGGCGAAACATGCAACGGTCTTGCCGGAAAGGTCATCTGATGATTGTTGCGTTAACAATAATTTGCGGCGTTGGACGTGATGCTTGTTAATGAAAAGAGCCCCTGAAAGGCGTCGGTGAAATCGTTCCCAATTTTGGGTACGCCGTTCCCATAATAAGGAACGCTTGCAGCGCCAGTGTACGAGAGCGTTCCCAAATTTGGGCTCGCGGCCCGGGTGATGGACTGCTTTAGAAATAGGGGAACGATTTGAAACTACGATGGGCCTTACAATATCAAACTCTTTCCCAACAATATTGAGACAACTATCAGGCGGTTCACGATCGTTTTATATTTTTTTGGACGTCATTTAACGGTTCTTTTTCTTGTTTTAAATAATGCCTACATGGCGTTCCCATATTTGGGTTTATCGTTCCCAATTATGGGAACGAAAATGCGTTCCCGAAAATGGGTACGCTTCACCATAGTTCCGCCTACTGAGATCCTCAAAATTAACCATCCCAAATTGACATTTAAATGCTCCACTGAAAGGAAAGGAAGCCAAGTAACCAGGAATGGAAAAAATTAACCAAATAGCACCCAAATATACTTTGACTTACATAAGGCCAGGTAACAACAAAAATAATCCAGAAATGCTCAAACAAAATACACAATTCTACCGGCTGCGGCAATGGCGGCAATTACCACGCAGCGAAACTTATCAAGGTTGAAAGATCACTTGGTCCGAATTGCGAATAGCCAATTATTTTGACGTCCTTAGCTCAAATTTCACAATTTTTTAAAGATATGCCACCTATAAATTATATCGATATCTGTCCATAGCTAAGGAAAGTTGTGGGCTGTTGGTCATAGAAAGCCTATATAGGGTTTATGAGTTTCATCACAATGTGCTGAGTGAGCATCACCCTTGGCACTAATTGTGGCATAGGCGGCGGAACGGGGAGGGCACCGGGGCACCATGCCCCCCTTTGATTTTGGCATTTTAACCCGGGCCGGGCCGGGGGTGTTTGAACACCCTCCTGCGGTTTTTCGAAGATATCTCAAAAACGGCGGCGTGAAGCGCCGCCGTTTTTGGCACACCTGTTCGTGCATCTTTTCCGCACATGTTGTGAAAATTTTAGACCCAGGTCGCCTTAGGTCAGGTCACCAGGTCACGCCAAGTGACCTCACCTCATAAAAAAAGAATGCTCGTCATAGCTACTGATCGATTGCCTTGAAACTTTCAGCGATTGATTAGAGCAGCATCATAAAATGTATATCTCGGAATTTTGATATCGATGACCTAAGGTCAGGTCAATTTTGCGGTCTCTCCATATACCTATCTATACCTAAGTCAATGGGAGAAAATTGAAAAGCGTCTGTTTTGCACGAACGCTATTCTAGACACTCTCAAACATCGAGATGTAGGTAAAATTGACACACTGAACCGGAAAATGGCAACTGTGCCCCTTGTTATGTCCCCGAGGTCATCTCAGGTCACGAACAGAATCTAACAGTTTTTCGCTAATAACTTCTGATAGAGGCGTGCTAGAGCACTGAAAACGCCTTAGATGTGTTCGGCTCGACGTTGCGGATCGACTGATATGCAACATTACCTTTCGCGGTCAGGTCATGACCTTGACCTGAGGTCAAATTTTCAAGTTGACTTTTCAAGGTCAAATTATAGTTCATTCGACGCGTCTCGACGAGAGGAACACGATGCTGGCAAAAGTAATTTCATGGCTCTTTTGACTCAAAAGTTATTGCCGAGGAAACGTTTTTCGTAAAAACGGCTATTTTTGGAGTTTTTGCCCTCTGGAGGCTAAACCGTTGACCTGAGGTCAAATCTGAGAACAATAGAAAGTTCTGTAAAAGGGCCATCGAATGCGCTTTCCGCGGCGCTGTAGCTCTATCGGTTCCCGAGATAGCCGTCGGCAGTTTTCTGGTGACCCGACCTTTGACCTGACCCAAAAAATGACTGAAGTGGTTTCGTCCTTATTTTAGACTTTCTTTCGATGCGTGTCGCTACGTGGCCCAGGAGCCGAGTTAGAAGGGGGGTGTTCAGACACCCCCCCCCCGGCCCGGCGCGGAATCTCAGAGCACAGGCCCGGCGCCGGTTAACATTAGCCCTATGGGCGTTGCATGGAAAGAATGGGACCAAAAGTCGGCACTGTGCCCCCCCCCCTTAATTAAAGGTGTTCCGCCGCTACTGAATTGTGGTACCTGCCAGGTTGTGACATTGGACCGTGCTGAAGTGCACTCATAATGAAACGTCTCCAACTATATGTTTCCAACAGTTTTTGATAATAACGACAGACGGAAACATGCTAGAGCGCTGAAAACACCAAAGACGAATCGACTGATATGCAGCCTGGGCTTGTTCGGTCGCTGTTTTTATATCAGCGTGCTGTCGGTTTTCCCCATATAGGTAAGGAAGTTATTGCTGGCGCTTCTTGGTCTCTCATTGGTCCAACGAATAGACCACTTGAATTCGACCAATGAGGAGCCAAGAAGTAGCAGCAAGCTCGCAGCCTGCTGATAAATAAACGGGGGACGAACAGAGCTCTGACCTTTTTATGATCTTGACCTGAGGTCAATTTAAAAAATGGCCTTTCAGGTCAATTTATAGTTCATTCGACGCGTCTCGACGAGAGAAACGCGATTCCGGTAAAATCAAGGTAACACAAGCTTGGTGTCAAAAGGAATTGTAGAAAAAAAACGTTTTCTGTAAAAACGTCAAACTGTGAGTTTTCGCCCTCTGGTAGCTCAGCCGTTGACCTAACGAATGCGGCTTTCCGCGGCACTGTAGCTCTTTTGGTTTCCGACTTATGCGCCGATTTGTGAAAGGTTGTCGAAATTGGAACCAGAATTCGTGATAGTTTTACTTTTGGTGACATCCAGTGATCTCAGCGATGACCTGATCGAAAAATGACGTTCATGATTCTGAAAGATCTCATAACGTGCCAGGCACGTAGCCAGGACTTCGCTCAGGGAGAGGCCACAGGTCGCGGACTGGTGTCGCACCCCCTCCTAAAAGGAAACTCCTCGGATTTGGCCCACTACCTATTTTTGGGGGTGTGGTGCAGGCCAGCTGTTCTTATCTATTTTTTCTCTTTTATTGCATTTTAGTTTATTTTTCGCCTTCAGGAGGCATGGCCCCCTTGCCCCCTTGACTACGTCCCTGTAACGAGCTGTATGTATTGTTATAGATATAGCTATGTCCATGTGTTCGAGTCTTCCTAGCTTTCCTACTTTCCGAGATAACCTGCTGTGGCGAAATATGTGCCCTCCCCTCCCCCCTCTCACAATGTCGAAGTTGGCTGAGAGGCCGACCCGGGAGCGTGTTAGTATCTAATGATTGATATTATTCATAGTGAATAATATCTATGCATTATCAATCAGCATCAAACATTGTTTTTGACAGGTGTATTTCAATCAAAATCATGTTTGACCGGCTTAGTTTGATAATGACTGGATGTAGACACACAACGTTGAATCATCACGAATCATCATACATAGCCTGACATAGCCGTCATTTATTCGTTTCATGAGCAATGTTGAATCGATTTACGGATTCATGAGCCATTCACGTGCCTCTGGTGCGAGTGCAACCGCTCTTCAGTACGTTTCAGGGAATCCAAATGCCTTACAAATCTTCTTCAAAAGCTCTTTCTTCTCATTCTCGGGCAGGAAACATGCTTTGGCCGCATTGAAGTTCTGAAAGAGAAAAGTTCGTTTTTAACGTCCCAATTCCCATAGTCGACTCGAAGGACAATATCCCCTGTTGGATGGGGAAATTCGCCTCATGCTAAGCTCAACAGTCGCAACAGCCTTTCTAAAACCTTCCTTAACCCGCGCCCCACTGGGGTCTGTGTATAACACGCCCTACTGGGGGGGGGGCTATTCATAGCCCCCCCCTCCTAACTCCGAAACTACTGGGCCGATCGTCAAAATTCAAACGGCGTCTGATAGCCCCGGAAAAACTGTCGAGCGAAACCTAATTTCATTGACCTCGAGGTCACCGATGACGTCACAGGTCAGGTCAAAGTAAAAATTATTAGCACTTTGGCTTGTTCACATTTTGGGCTCTGGCCGCCGTCTTACAAGTCAGATCAGGCTCATTTTTGGTTTCCACACTCGTGAACAGATGCTCTAGATACCTTGAGGGTACCAAACTTGTACTTTGATTTTCAGGTCAGGGTCAGGTCATCACAGGTCACGAAAATATTATATCATGCGTCGGTCACGTGACACATGTTTTATGGTCCATTTAGGCCATAGATTTCGAATTTGATGTCGTCTGTGTCATTCAAGGTCATTTTGAGTCGAAATTAGCTTAGGTCAGGTCACTTTCAGGTCAAAAAAGGTCAAATTTTGAAGTTGAAATTTTTCAACAAAAAAGGTGTCTATTGGATGCAGTTTGAGCTCAGGAACACGATGGTGCCATTTATATTGGTGTACGATGCCAAATACGTACTGAAAAATTGATTTGAAAAATTAATAATTGTGAATTTTTTGCAATAATGCGTATAACTTGGCCATTTTTGAAGATATTTAGCTAAAACTTGCTAGAGTTAGTCATAATCATGCGTTCTGTCACATATATTCCGGTTTTTTTCGAAAAGTCAAAAACTTTTTGAAAAAAAATATAAAAATATAAATTTTGAATATTATTATATAAAATTTTCAAGATTTTCAACATTTTGAAAATCCGAGATAGCAGTTTGATAGCGCGGTTAATTCTGAGTCCTTTCATGCAAAGAAATTGGATCTAGCTTAAAAACTGAGCTCTTGGGAGCGATTGCCGTGGTTCAATGTTTTGCGTCGAAATCGGACGAACATGACGTCACTCTGACGTCATTTCCGGCCGACCTATGGTAGCTACGAAGTTCAAATTTTGACACAAGGTGTCAAATTGATGCAGCCGAAGGTACTGAAAGTTTGGCGTCGATTCGTCGAGCGGTTTGGAAGCTATTGCAGAAAAACGGGAGGGGGGCTATAAATAGCCCCCCCCCCAGTGGGGCGCGGGTTAATCAAACTTCTATGCTCCCGGTCCGGGCTGAAGGAGAGCTTACCCAGGCAACCGATGATAGCAACTCCTCCAAGTAACCTAATCCTAGCCGGAGTGACAGACAGTTAAAAGGATGGCTAGATATTGCAAAGTATATTCATGGTGGCCGATGCTGAAAAAGTAGGGCTAGAAATCAGTCAACAGTAAGCGCAAGCCATTGAACATCCCGCTCACTGTTGGCTGTTTTGTGGCTGAAATCCAGCTCACCATGGTAGCAAACATGGCCTCGTTGAAGCCCATTCGGCGCATCAGCGAATACTCGCTATCCATATTCCCCTGGATCACGGTCGGGTCGTCCACGTTCACCGAGAAACTGACGCCGTCTTCGTAGAATCTGCCATCAATCCAAAAATCGACAAGTTAAAGTTATACACAGCACAGTAGCCGAACCAGCATGCTGAGCCTTCACGAAGTATAACAGATTGTTTATTGAAATGAATCGAATGAAGTGAAATGCAAGTGGGCTGATAAGTGACAGAAAAACCTGTAAACGATATAGCATAGAAATGCTATATGTTATTGATGAGACGTTTTTCATTGATCATAAAATGCCTCATGCGGTTATTATATATTAACACATGGTTTCCTGTGTGTAAATGGTTTTAACGCACGTGGATGGATTGGAGCACGAGTGTGTTAATGCACGAGTGAAACGAGTGCATTAACGCACGAGTGCTCCATTCCATCCACGAGTGCGTTAAAACCATTTGTGCACGGAAACCATGTGTTAAACTAATTAATACATGCTTAACGGTGCGAATTTAAATTAAAATTAATCTTAGTCCATGACATTAAAAGGGCCTTTTATGGGAATTCTCAGAAGAAAGTCAATGACCCTTCCGAAAAACTTAAGTCGAGAAATTCATCACTGCACGAGCGTGCACCAATTTAAATTGGTGCACGGCTACCTTCGAATTAACGCACGGTTAATCTCCAGTGAACGCACCGTAAAGTATGTATTAATTCACAATAACAGTGATCCTGACATTTTCACATAGGTAATACGTAGCCAATAAAAGTCAACAATAAAACTATAATAAAAAATCACCAACGAACCGAAACAATGGACTCGCCTTTGAACAGGGTGTTTGGTCTGTGTGAGCGGTACCGAGCCCGTCAGGTGGCTGGAGGAGGGGCAGCACTCGAAGTGGACGCGCTCCTTGATACAGCGTCTATACAGCTCCTCATCCTCCAGCACGTGGTAGCCGTGACCGATCCGCTCGGCGTGCATCTTATCGAGCGCCTGTACACGCATAAAGCAATAAAGAGCGTTATGGTATGGTATTTTAGTTGATAGTTACTGGATATATGTTCATTAGAATGATAAAGAATAGAAATGATAGACATTTCTGTTGGAAATGATAGACATTTCTGTTGCTCATTTCTGATAGAAATGAGCAACAGGATGTATGTTCGACCAAACTCGCTTCAAATTTTAAAACAGCAGTTCATTGAGGGAAGCGGAATGCGCAACGAGTACAAACGAGACCTATATTCTTTTCACTTTTTTAGAGCGATATAAATGCCTTCGGTTACCACTGCGGATAATACAACTGGTGCGGCATCAACTATCAGTCACTTCACTGAGGTTTGAATGCCTCTATACTGATCAGCTATAGCGCGGTATGTACCGGGGTGTCGCACTCACTATTTGCACCATGTAGGCGGGGCCCGCCTCCCCTGAATGCACGGTGCGGTGGATCCCGCGGCGGGCCGCCTCCTGGAACAGTGCAATCTCCCTCTGCAGTAGCTGCTCAGAACTGTGCACTGTCGACATGTCAATGTCACAACAGGTCAGAGAACCAAGCAGGAGCTGCATCTCAAACCATCGGCGTTACAGCGGTCTTACCAATGTTATCAAACCAAAAGTCCATTTCGTCAGAATATGTGAGGATAGATAATACATAAAAATATTTCAACATCTGTTTGAGGCATAAGAATCCCTATATAACTCATGAAGTGCAGAGGCGCTAGAAGATCTGTCGGGCCACTCACTGTCGCCGTCTTCGGTCGTGGCGGTTGCCTCGTCTCCCGAAATGTCCATTCCGACCACTCCCTTGTCCCGGAACTCAGTGCACATCTCCAAGACGTCGTCGTAGTATTCTGAAAACGGCAGACGGTGTTACGCATTGAACTCTGATCGCGCACGTAAGTCGCAAGATGACCGCTGAGCCGATAGTCGAATGTGATCTCTATACCTTAACTACTATCGTTCTGGAGAAGGCACGTCTACTAAACAGTAAACGGGCGCCACCACTATTGGGTTCTCAAGCGATAATTCAACTGCCATTACCATTTTTGTGGACATTCTATTACGCGAGGTCGATCAGAGAGATGAGTGCTCCACTGACCGGAAAACCCACGAACGCAGCAGAGCAGGAGGCGGGCGGTGACGCCGAACTGTTGCTGACCGCGCGCCAGGCCGCGCAGCACCGCCTCCGTCACCTGGCGGGCCGTCACCTGGCCGCCGGCGCCCACCAGCAGGTGCGGGCTGAACCGCGGCTCCGTGTACAGCACCGCGCTACCAGCCTCGTCCTCGACAAACTCGAACGCCACGCGCTCGATCGCGGCTAGGTCACCCCTGCGGCGGTACATGATTTCGAGTGATTTTGTGAAATCGGCTGATGCAATGTGGCGATACTAGTTGCTTAGACGACTCAAGTGCGTTTAATTATTTTTGAATGAGACCTCAGTGCACGTCCCGTAACACAGCCGTGTTTCCTTAGCTGCTACATATGTGCTAATTTGTGCTCATTGTTTAGTGAGAAACCTGACATTTTTAATTTGACATATAGACACGGAAACCTGACATGGTAGGTACACCCACTAAAAACCCACTGTATACCCACTAAAAATGTAAGGTTTCGGACTAATCTATATTTAATCTATAGATTTGCGTAATAGACCGAAGATAAAAAGGGTGACCTTTTACAACAATACTGAAACCACACACCACCATATAGTTCGACTTATATGCACCCTCCGGTTCCCGTTCACATGATTAAAAACTATTCTAATTTTCCTGTTCTCCAATAATACCTAGGAAAGCATTGATCAGTTGACAGTTATCATCGTACATGACTGCTGGGCAGATCCATTTGAATCTGGCTAGGTAGTTTGCCAAGTCCACTGGCGAGCGAATTTTCATAGTCTCTTCGAGCTCCCTCAGGCTTCCATTTCCAGGCAGCGGTAAATTCTTCTGTCTGAAAACGTCAACCGCAACGATCAGAAATGTAAGCAAGAAATGTAACTGTAAGCAATATGATTCGCATGGGACATGCCGTTCAAATCGTTGTAATCGCAGATGCAATAGTGAGCAGATATAGATAATACAGATGGACCAGAGACGTGTGGATGTTGTTTGGAGAGACACTGACCTGCTCAGCTCCCAGATGGTCGAGTGACGTATGGCGCCATCCAGGTGAATGTGAAGGTGCACCTGTAGAGAACGCACCGACGCGACGGTCGGATTAGGGGGTGTAGGTATTAGGTCACTGGCAATGACCCCAGCTATGTAAGCCTGAAGTGGCGATCATTATCGTGTTGCTTAATTTAGCGAGAAACGAAGGACGCGAAATGACGATTCTTTTGTGCGACGTGATGAGGCGGACCTTCCGGATTCAGTACTTTACTTAATAACGTGTAAATACAATACATTGCATATTGTGTGGTGCTTCCGGTTCGCCTTTTGTGTTTATCGCTCGATAGATATCGGCGTTCTAAAAGCACATATTTAAGAAAGGTTAGACGTTCCTAGCTTTGCATAAGCAACAGTATTTATATAACAAAACAACGTTTGCTCAAAGCACTGTGAATTCTCGACATACTATACTTTGTCGGGCTGGGGGGATCCATGTGATCGCAAGGCACCTCGCAGTTGCGATCAAACGTAAGTTGAATCGGAACAGATATTGGAGGGATCCATCACATCGTAGGCTAAGTAGATACGCAAGTTGTATCGCAAATGGTGAAGATACGAACTAACTTTACGAATCTTCTCGGTCGATCGGAAGGCCGATCGTAGCGAAGCTTTACCTCTTTCTCAAGAGAAAAATATAAGAAATTTTCAAAATTTTCACAAAACCGAAATATATGTTAAACAAATATGGTTGATGAACACGTGTGCAATATTTGAAGTCGATTTCTTCAAAAATGGCTGCGCTAGAGCGTTTTAAATTTACACGTTGAAAACGGTCACTTTCACGTCATTTTTGTAATTGTTTTTTTTTTCAATTTTGTAATTTAAAAAGTGTTTTGGGCAATTTTTCGCGTTAATTGCGAAAATCTGACCAAAACATGTATCGCACCATCAATGATCCGATACGCCATCAGAGGCCGCGCCGCGGACAGGTGGGCGCGGCGATACCTAGGCCGCGTGGGGGTTACACTGGTGTTCGGGAAGGGCTATGTCAACGCGAGGCAGGCCGCGGGGGAGCCGGTTGCGGCGCCAGTCCGTATTTGTCGGCGCCTAGCAGTGCAGCGGTGCGTTTATGGCGGAGGGAGGGGAAGCGGTGTAGTGTCGGCAAGGCCGCACACAGGAGAGGGCACACGGGCCTCCTCCCCATTCGAGTTGGGGCCCCTAATCTTTAGACCGCCGAAGACCATGTAAAATGAACTGAAATAATGATTAAAAAGACCGGGAGGGCCCATCTCGTTCCCCAACAGGCCCATACGAGTCCATAAATGCCCAGTAGCGCAGCCAGGGGTATTGTGGTGAAATTTCAATGGCCCTCAAAAGACCTCAAAGGGCCCACAGATGGGGTCACCGGGTCCTCAGATGGTCTCGAAGGGCCCTCGGTTAGCGTCAAATGGCCCTCATCTGGTGTCAAAGGGCCCTCAGATGGCCAAATGAAGGGCCACAAGATGGCCTCAAAGGGCCCTCAGATCACAGATGGGTTCAAAGGGCTCTCAGCCAACGTTAAACCTACCTCAGAAGACCTTAAAGGGCGTCAAAGGGCCCTAAACCTGCGTCAGAGGGCCCTGAGCTCGCGTCAAACGACCCTCCGAAGGCCTTAAAGAGTCCTTAGCTTGTGTCAGAGGGCCCCCAGCTGGTGTCAGTGAGCCCTCCTCAGCTGGCGCCAAAAGTCCATCTGAAGGCCTCAAACGGTTGTCAGCTGGAGTACAACGGTCCTCAGATGCCGTCACGCGGCCCTCAAAAGCCTCAAGGAGCCCTTATAAGGTCTCAAAGGGCCCTCATTTGGCCTCAAAAGGCCCTCCGCTAGCGTTAACCGGACTTCAGAAGGCCTTAAAGGGCCCTTATCTGGTGTCAGAGGGCCCCCAGCTAATGTCAGAGGGCCCCCCGGCCCTCAGTTGGCGCAAAATGGCCATCAGAAGGCCTCAAACGGTCCGTAACTGGAGTCCAACCGCAACGGTCCTCAGGTGGCGTCAAGCGGCCCTCAAAAAGCCTCAAAGGCCGCTTAGAAGGCAGCAAAGGGCCCTCAAGTCATATGACCCCAAAGGGTCCTATGCTGGCGTCAAACGGACCTCAGAAGGTCTCAAAGGGCGTCAAAGGGCCCTGAGCTCGTGTCAAATATAAAAGCGCCCTTAGCTGGTGTCAGGAGGCCCCCAGTTGGTGTCAGCGTGCCCTCAGCTGGTGTCAGAGAGCCCTCAGTTGGCATCTACTGGCCATCAGGAGGCCCCAAACGGTCCTCAGATGGCGTCCAACGGTCCTCAGCTGACGTTAAGAGGCCCTCAAAAAGGCCTCAAAGACCCCTCGGCTGCTGAAGAGGCCCTTAGCCTCAAAGGAAACTCAAGGAAGGTTGTTATGTAGGAAATGTTGTTAGGTAGCCCACAGAATTTGCGAAACATTTCCAGCTATGTTGTAAAATTTAATAATTGTAATTTGACTCCTGTTTCCGAAGCGAGGAATCTTGGAGTTCATTTTGACTGTGCCCTTAGCTGGGACACTCATGTTTCTGTTGTTGTGCACCGTTGTTTCGGAATTCTTACCGGATTGTCGCAACTGAGGGGCCATTTACCGCCATCTACCATTTCTATTCTAGTGGATGCCTTAGTTTTATCTCATATCCGCTACTGTTTATCCGTTTATGGTAATACCACAAACAAAAATCTTCTTCGGATTCAGAAAGTGATCAATTATGCCGCCAAAGTCATTTTCCGTCGCAGGAAATTTGACCATGTGTCCGATCTGCTTCAACGTTTGGGTTGGTTGAAAGCTAATGAGCTCGTCCAGTACCACACTATGTGCATGGTTCATAGAGTACGTCGCGCAGGCGAACCTGAAGCACTGGCTGAAAATCTCATTAAAAGCTCGGAGACCCGTGACCGCAATACTAGACAAAACAACACATTGTACGTACCAATGTCACATACAGAGATGGGACGAAGGCGTTTCTGCTGTCGTGCACCTCGCCAGTATAATGCGCTGCCACATGATCTGACGTTACGCTCGACGCCAGCTTTCCGGAGTCACTTAGTAAGCCACCTATGTGACAGTCGCACCGTGACTGGGCAAGAGTGACGTGGTCCGATGTCCGAACTATTAGAGCAATGACTATCGAGCGATTGTTGTTAAATGTGGATGATTCGTCTCGTGTGTGTATAAGATGTGCTATTTTTTTTACAGCAACCTAGGCGTGGTTTATGATAGGGCAGGAAATGCTGTGTACATATGTTGCATGCTTTGTACTACATAACTGAGACTGTAATAGCCCCGAGTACATCGAGGATTGTCTCATTAAATACATTACATTACATTACATTACAAGAGACGTTAAACGGCCCTAAAAAGGCTTGAAAGGGCCCTCTGCTGGTGGCAAAGGGCTCGCATATGACATCAATAACAGCTTTGTCAAAAACGGACCTGAGAGACCTTGCCGGTCCCTGGTTATAAGGGACTCCTGTCTCTTGCAGTAACCTGAGTGGCCCACGTTTACTGAGGGGCCCCTGGTTATTGAAGGAGTCCCTGGTTAACCCGCGCCGGGCCGGGGGGGGGTGTTTGAACACCCCCCCTGCGGTTTTTCGCAGATATCTCAAAAACGGCGGCGCGGAGCGCCGCCGTTTTTGGCACACCTGTTGGTACATCTTTTCCGCACATGTTGTGAAAATTTCAGACCCAGGTCGCCTTAGGTCAGGTCACCAGGTCACGCCAAGTGACCTCACCTCAGAAAAAATAAGAATGCTCGTCATAGCTACTGATCGATTGCCTTGAAACTTTCAGCGATTGATTAGAGCAACATCATCTATAAAATGTATATCTCGGAATTTTGATATCGATGACCTAAGGTCAGGTCAATTTTGCAGCCTCTCCATATACCTATCTATACCTAAGTCAATGGGAGAAAATTGAAAAGCGTCTGTTTTGCACGAACGCTATTCTAGACACTCTCAAACATCGAGATGTAGGTAAAATTGACACACTGAACCGGAAAATGGCAACTGTGCCCCTTGTTATGTCCCCGAGGTCATCTCAGGTCACGAACAGAATCTAACAGTTTTTCGCTAATAACTTCTGATAGAGACGTGCTAGAGCGCTGAAAACGCCTTAGATGTATTCGGCTCGACGTTGCGGATCGACTGATAGGCAACATTACCTTTCGCGGTCAGGCCATGACCTTGACCTGAGGTCAAATTTTCAAGTTGACCTTTCAAGGTCAAATTATAGTTCATTCGACGCGTCTCGACGAGAGGAACACGTTGCTGGCAAAAGTAATGTCATGGATCGTTTGAGTCAAAAGTTATCGCCGAAAAACCGATTTTCGTAAAAACGGCTATTTTTGGAGTTTTTGTCCTCTGGAGGCTAAACCGTTGACCTGAGGTCAAATCTGAGAACATTATTCAGAAAGGCCTGTAAAAGGGCTATCGAATGCGCTTTTCCGCGGCGCTGTAGCTCTATCGGTTCCCGAGATAGCCGTTGGCAGTTTCCAAAATGTTGAAATAGTCAACATTTTACCTTTGGTGACCTCTGGTGACCTGACCTTTGACCTGACCCAAAAAATGACCGAAGTGTTTTCGTCCTTATTTTGGACGTTCTTTCGATTGCCGCTTACCGCGTGTCGCTACGTGGCCCAGGAGCCGAGTTAGAAGGGGGGGGGTGTTCAGACACCCCCCCCCCCCCCGGCCCGGCGCGGAATCTCAGAGCACCGGCCCGGCGCGGGTTAATGGAAGGACCCCTGGTTATCAGAGGGTTCCCTGGTCACCTGGTGGGTCCCTGATCAATTGAAACCTCCCGATCATCTGAGCGCCCCCTGATTGCCTTGGTCTTGGCGTTGGCGTACAGTTTAAAGTCGTCGGCACACTGCGGCCTCCTCTTTCTCAACAAGTCCCTCTATTTCTTCTGCAGCGAGGGCGATTTCGTCAAAATACTCCTCCATCGCGAAGCCTCGTGCGCAGACGCAGTCTTCGGGGCGCTCGCTGCGCCAACTCTTGACGCCAACTAAAGGGCTCCAAATGGAACAGATGACTCCGAAACGAACGTGGGAATGCCGACACATGATCCCTCCAAATTTACAGAGGAGGAGATGTCCCTGACAGCCCATTTGCAATAGGGGTCACTTTTACACTATAGACGTATGGGGAATTCGACCTTATCGACATGGTACTACGAGGTCAGCTGATCTGCTTGGCATTTAAATCGTAGTAAAACTGGCATTTAAACGCTGCGAAACAACTTACGTACAACGTAGCTCCGATTTGCCGCTCTTTCTTTTTCATCCCTCCGATTTTCTTCCGATCAAGAGAAGTTTCGTACCGAGAGAAGTTTCGCAGCCACGTCCGATATAACTTACGATAGCACGGATCCCCCCAGCCCGAATATCGCGTGTTTGCTCTATCGTAATTATAAAGACAGCGCTGCCGATTATCGTCATTCGGTGGGAATATTCTTACCATTAACGCAAGTTAGGTATCATGTTTTTTTTTTTTATTCGGCTAAAGTGACAGTTATCTCGTCTCAAGCAAACTTATCCTTCGCCCCCACTGATATCGATAGATATCAGTGGGGTGAATCAGACTGTGGTGGTTTGTGGGCTCGTCTATACTCGTATGGTGACACGGGGCCAGTCAAATGGCTGAGTGAGAGTCGTTGTATGCATATGCCTATATTAATTATGAAGGATGTGGTTTTAAATGTAGCTTAAGTGGCGAAGGACTTGTAAGGTATAAAACGTTTTTTTTTTTTAGAAAGTATGCACAATGCCATAGATAACGTGAATCATGATTGATTACCATGAATCATGAATCATGACATGAATCAAGATTCATGCTTCCTATGACAATGCACATGAACAATGCATTTATCATTACGTTCACGTTTATATTTGTACGATATTTAGCCACAATTATAAGAGATGTTCTTCGCTGATCTCCCGCTTTGTGGTCAAAAGACGCAAGTCTTTTTGTCACCACGGTTCTAGCAGCCACATGCAAACAAACAACGCTTTATCTAAATTACTGTCACATCTTTATCTCACGACCGATAAGCAGACTCACCCGGTATTTGGCGGGGTTAGCGACTCTCTCAGTGACCTCCATGTTCCTCAGCGCGTGGTTGGGACCGCGGGGCGCGGTGTGTCACGCTCCAGCTCAGTCAATAGTTCGTCGGTTAATGCTGGCGACCTTGAGGAGTGTCTGGCGCCGCCGGGAACACAGTCCGGCCGATGACTGGCGGCCCCGCCCCCTGCTGTGAGCGTAGCTGACCCCAGGCGTCGCCACCGTCACCGGGGCGGCGCCGGAGACAGGCCAACGCCTGACTTGCTCGATATACCTATGTATTTTCGAGAAATCAAAATTTCAGTCCCCAGGGCCAGGTGCAATGACTTGGTGCCCTCAGAGTGTTATTGTAGTAAACCTAATTACTTATGAGACATTACATCAAAGAATATTAGAACATTATTCAAAAATAAGTTTTAGGAAAGCAGAAAACCTCTTTTAGACTATTGTAAAGCATACCTTTAGAAGTTTTAATTTTCACACCTTTTCTTTAGATGCTTATGCAAAATCAATGAAGTTAATGGGAAAACTGCTGCATCAAAGTATCTCAGACATCTTCCTATTTATGCAGTTGTAACCGTTTAAATAATGCAGCAGCAATATCGACCTAGACACAACGCTGTACCTATCTTGCTGTTGATACACTGCTGACTGTAACACTGTAACTGATAGGTATTTAGCTCATTGAATAGTGTGCAACGAATATTAAAAACGTAGCTTGCATTGCAATCAGGGATGCGGAGCCGTGGAAATTTCAAACGGCTCCGGCTCCGGCTCCGGCTCCGGAGAAAAAAATCGGCTCCGGCTCCGGCTCCGGCTCCGGGTGAAATGTTATGGCGGCTCCGGCTCCGGCTCCGGCTCCGAGTAAAATGGTTCGGCTCCGGCGGCTCCGGCTCCGGCGGCTCCGGCTCCGACTCAGTACATCCCCTATGCAATCAATTAAAGGAAATAGTTCACTTTCACGAAATTATTTTTTTTGCAACGATTTATTATTTTTTATGTTCAAAATAATCAGCAAAGAAAATAAAACCTTTTTATAACAAAAGATTTTTTTTGCTATATTTTGATATAGGAAGAACTTTTCAGTTTCTGTAAGGCACACGCGATCCAGTATGAAAAGAGCATGGGTCCCGAAAATTCTACAGAAACAGAGAAATTATCGCAGCCACCGGCATTTGGGCGATCTGCTCGATCTGATAATGTTCCCCTGAATGTCCTAATTGATCAGTACGAGAATTTCTCTAGAGTTCTCGTAGATAATTTCTCTAGTTTCTGAATAATTTTCGGGACCCATGCTCTTTTCATACTGGATGGAAATATATGCAAGGCACACATCCTCAACGCAAGACACCTTTTTCGGGACGAGAAATAGAATATCTTTGCCTAGGGTGATCGTTGGGCTGTAAAAGCTCCTGATTTATGCTCGTCTCAGCCCAAGCTACGGAACTGCTATTCCAGTTCAAAACCCATGTTAAAAAGTGAACCATTTCCTTTAAATACGGGTGGAAGAAAAATTGGCTTGGTTATACGCGTTACCTACTCTTGCCATGACCGGCTCACCGCGTCCCCGCGCAAACGCACCTCGGAGAGAACTGGCAGAACAAAGGACTAGGAAGCGATGGCATTGGAAACGCAGTCGCCGCGAATCGGAGTTCACTGAACCATCGTAAGCTGACACCCATCTCAGCGGCATTGGGGGGTGGGGGTGGGGGTGGGAAGAGACGGTGCTGGGAGTCGCAGTCCACTGCACTGGCTTCAAAACAATGGCGGTCACCTGATGACCGGTCCTCATGTTCTGGGGATGCAGTAGACGTGAGTGGGGGGGGGGGGGGGAGGAGCAGACAGGAAGTTGATTGCGTACTGTGGGATACTGGGGATATTCGGCTTTTTCATTCACTTGATGGCCCATGACGTACTATTGGTCTCAAGATAAGGGCCCAGGCGATCTGTAGTTTTGATGCGGTGAATACCCTTACCCTCGCCACAACTCGGGCCGAGTGCACCCCTCCTCCCAGCCAGCGCCACCCCCACTCGCATTGTGGCGAGGGTGAGGGTATGCACCGCATCAAAACTACAGGTCGCCTGGGCACTTATATTGAGACAATAGTACGATATGTTTTACTGCCTTGTACTGTCAAACCGAACTAGGTCAATTATTTTTTTCCTCTTCAAAAAATAAAAAGGAGCCGGAGTCGCCCCCTTTTTTGGCGGCTCCGGCTCCGGCTCCGGCTCCGGGCTATATTGTTTCACGGCTCCGGCTCCGGCTCCGGCTCCGGGCAAAATATGCCGGCTCCGGCGGCTCCGGCTCCGACTCCGGCTCCGGCTCCGCATCCCTGATTGCAATATATATTTTTTAATTTTACTTTTACCTATCGACACGATGCGCATAAACAATAAACTCGTTGTGAATTATGATAATGACTTCATACCGCCGAACTCAATGCTCTTAAAATAAACGGCACATTTCGCAGTTGACCCTCATTCTCCGTCTGCGCACTCTGCTTCAAAGCTGCAACAGTTCTGACCTCTGGACATGTCCGTTTATCCCACCGTGCACGCCGCCCGGCCGACCCGGAACCGTCTGAGCAGCCGGCGCCCCTGTCAGTAGTACGAGTGTCCGTGCCGGACTGAGAGGGCACCGGGGTCATTCCGCCGCCATGAACATCACTGAGAGGGTCTCCACTCCCGTCAAATGCCGGGTGAGTCGGTGCTGACGATGCGCTAGAATGGTGTGGATTTGCCCGTGAAATCTTTTAGTGAACAGCATATACAGGCATTGGAACTTGTACAGTGTGTCTAAAAAGAATGTACCGTCGCCACTACGTGGCGCTGGTGTCGCGAGCCGGTAGTTGGCTGAATCCGCACCAGACCACACATTCCCAAGCGCTAGGTGACAGCTGCGCAGCGGCCGGTAGTAGCGTAAGCCCGAACCTTCGTGACACGACCCCGGGGGGGGGGGGGGGAGGGGAGCGGACGGGGCAGCGCGTGTAGGGAGGGGTGCTCCGGCAAGCTGGCAGTTGTCGCGGCCAAAGGTCAAGGGGTCACACACCAAGCGAACGGACGCTGATGTGGGTTCGTGGGGATCATGAACTTGTGTGTGGTAGGTGCGTCTTGCGATGCACGGGTGATACGCCAGGTCTAAGCCAAAGGATTCAGGGCAGAGCTGAAGAAAAACATCTGGTCAACTACGGCGAATAATGGTGCTGAAAAATGGAAAGTATGGGTCAATGCAAGCCTTCATGACTATAAACAACTTTTCTGAGGACGCAAAGGCCAGCATTGAATAACGATATCCGGATCGAAATTAGCAATGATTTATAATTAAATGCCGAACTAATAGCGCTGCAAAACCCTCCTAGTAAATTGTCAAGTCGGATTATACCCACTTGAATTAAACTATCCTAAATAAAATTGTTAATTAACTGTCTAACACTGACGTTCTTTATCATACGATAAGTATGGGGTTAACCAAGATTCAGCATCTTCCGCGTTCAAACAATCACCTGTAAGGTTAGAACATTAATGGCCAGGTAAAAACATGGTCGGGATTTGATTAACCGGATTATAAGTCGATTTTTTTTAGTCGGGATTTGATAAGTCGGATTTTTTACGCCAACCGCATTTTTAAGTCAAGTCAGGTCACTGATCTATGACGTCATAAATGACCAGTCCTAAAATGAACTGTGTGAAACTGTCCTAAACTGTCCTAAAATGAACATTTTAGGACTGTGCTAAAATGTTCCAACTTCGCAACACCCTCAGTGCAGAGCTTTCATAGGGAGATGAAACTTACAGGATCTTATAGTATGATCGAGAGGTCTCACAACTTGTATAAATGTATATCTAGGATTTTCTGAAGGGTCGCCTGAGATCAGGTCAGTCTCTCACCATTAAAAGTCAGGGGAATATGGAAATTGCTAGTTTGGTCCGGAAATGATATACAACTATCTCAAATTCTCAAGCCCACGGAATCGTGATTTCATATTCATGCGCTGCTTGCAAGGTCTGATGCTTCAATTTTGCTTTGTTGATCTTGCGTGACGTCATTTATCACGTAACTAAGGCTATCAGTTTTTCGTCAATAACTCCCGATCAACTAAAGCTACCGAGTCGATAAAGCCACTAATGGACATGAAAAGACCTGCCGAATCGATTGATATGCAATATGACCTCCTTTGACCAGCTTCGTGACCTGACGGGCTGTGACCTGACCTTTACCCGAGGTTAACACCTTAACTCTCGCCCGTATTGGTGTTTTTCCAGCCTCAAACGTATAAGGGTCCGTTGGACCCCCCCCCCCCCCCTTGCCGTTTCGCCCCTGATCGAGCTAGAGCTTCGCGGAAAAAACGAGCGTGTTGGCCGTGACGAGAGGAAGTCGATGATACCCAATTTTAAGGTTCTAGGTCATCGGTTGACTTTCCAGGTCAGGTCAATGACCCAAAAGTCGGGGAAATCGGGACCTGTTAGAAAGTTGTAAAGCGTGGCTGCTATGAGGTTTTCGGGGTGCTGATCACGAATATCATGTTAGTTTTGATCGCAGATGATGTCTTCATGCATTTAGGCCAGGTCGGGTCAGGTCAGGTCAGGTCAACCAGTAAGGGTATTCGTAGTAGGTGGCAACCGCCTCTGACAGCTTCGCAACATGTTACGAGGGCACCAAAACTACTTCGTAAATGTTCATATGGCTGCTAAATTCGAATTCAGCTCCTAAAACTGGCCTAGAAACATGTAAAACTCGAAAAAGTGAACCGAGGTCATCAAAGGTCAATGACCTGACCTGACTTTCCGGTGACCTTGACACCCACCCTAATGCATGGAAGCAAGATCATATCCCATGTTTCAACGCTTAAAACCACGAAAAGACTGCAAACGCGCCGCTAATGCGAGCCGACATACGCCGAATCGCGCTTCCGGCCAAACATGGTCTCGAAAAGTAGGTCGCAGGTCAAAGGTCATTAAGGTCAGGGTCATGACAATTTCAGGGTGGGTGTAAAATTGATTAACGCGAGGGTACTGAAAGTTTCGTCGCGATCGGCCGCTTTTTACGCGAGTTATTCGCGAAAAACCGAGGGAGGGGGTCCGTTCGACCCCCCCCCCTCTATACGGGCGAGGGTTAAGTTGATCTCACCCGAAGAAAAAGTATACCATTCGACACGCCTGAGCTAGACAAACACGATGCTGCTAAAATCGCGGATCTGCGATCATTTTTAGCGAAGTTATTTACCAAAAACCGAACCTGTGCCTTGGGCCACTTGACCTGACCTCCGAAGTCATCGGCTGACCCTGGTCCTTAAATCGGAGACCAATCGCTGCATTTCGTAACGACGCACACGATCGTTTCTTTCGCGAGGCTCTAGCTCAATTAGGGGCGAATCGGCGAAGGGGGTTGTTTCCTCACTTCCAACCCCCAACGTCCCCTCGGTATTCAGAAAACCTGAAGGTCCGGTGAGGGTTAAATCGTTTCTCCTGAACGAGGAAGAAATGTGAAAGTCAAAGCTCTATAGACGTCCTGTAAAAGTGGCCATAATAATAAATTCGTTAGAAATAAGATGCTTTTTAAACGACTTCCTCATATAAAATCGGGTGCTGGGACCAATCTTATAAACGCTTTAGAATGGACAGGGTGTCACTGGCTAAAGTTTGGGTGCAGAAAACGGCTATTACCTAAATGCAAAATGGTTTTCATGCATTTCAGTCAATTGTATATTGTCGGTCCCAGTGGCCGAGCTAAAAAAAAGGTAGTGTTTTGCATCTTTTACGCCCTAAGAAACTACACCATCTATCGAAGTGGGCGGGCTTATTTGAATGGGAGGGCGCATTATGCACGAATCGTGTGCTTTCGTTTATTTTGGACTGTATTTTACCACATCCACTGCTGGTATCACTATTAATATAATCTAATGCCGTGAATACGACAGCATTCCATTTATAAGATTGGGCCAATGGAGTCGCGCCCCGCGAGCTCGGTTTTCCGCTGGGCCGCTACAGGCCAGGAAGTCGGTCTTCACCTGAGGGCAGGACAAAGGTCAGCGAGGGAGCGCGGGGTCAGCCAGGTATCGCCAAGTGCCGAGCGAAAGCCGCTCCCTCCCCTCTCTTCCGCTCTTCTCCCCTCCCCACCTCGGTATAGATGGGGAGGGACCGAACTGCCAATGACATGCGAGCGGTCAAGGCCGCTCGCGCGGCAGCGACCCTGGCGGCCGGGTGCCGCAACTGGGATTCAGCCAAGTTACCGATTCGCCTCCTGTGGGAGAGCCAAACCAGGGGACATACTTTTTAGATATACTGTACATAAATGCTTACTTGCCTTATCCATCTCTCGCTGAGTTTGTAATGCGCAGCTAACGCGGCTCCGGCTGGCGCTGCTTATGCCAGCTGACGCTTATTGCTGTGACGACTGTCTTCAGTCACAGCTATCGTGACTCCTGGTAATGTGTCTGTCATATCGTGCCTTGAGACGGTATTGTGGGACCAATCGGGGTGAGCCTGTAGATGGCGTCTTGAGGCTTTTTACGAAACGTATGAAATAATTGATCTGACTTTCGCCCAACATTGAAAAGCGGATCCTTGTAACAGAACAGGTATATCTGCATGTTTTTATTTTGCAAAATATATGCATTGCAATGGATGCACCACCGTGTTGCGTAAAAAAAAACACACTGAAGATGTTGCTACATAGTTATTGCGCCAGCTGAACGTTTCAATTCGGCGCAGCGAACTGCGATATCTATCGGCTGACCGCTGACGTATTGTCCGATAAAACGATAAGGACTAAAATGATGTGCCCTCTTCCTGCCGATACGATAATAGTGTCTGTCTCCGAATGCACAGTCGCAGTTCGACAGAGCACATAATGTAATGCCTTGCCGTCTTGTTGTAGCGTAAGTTTGATCTACTCGTAATTTAAGAATAATTCTTGCATATCAACAGTCGCACTCACAAATGATGGATGAATTGTGGACCGCCGAAGGAAGGGGACGAAAAGGACGGTGATCTACATACATTAACGGATCATTCAGAAGCCAGCTGAGCTGATGACTTTACTGTCACCGGAAATTAGAGATAAAATAGTAAAAAAAAAAAAATCACTGAAGAAAGGGACTGCCAAGGCTGTTTGCTTGAATCCCACGACACAGAATGCCACGCCTTCAGGGCGCTGACATAAAACAAAACATACTTGTAGCCACCAATGACAAGCCTCCGAATTGTGCCATTCCTTTGTCAGGTTCATCTACATGTTCACCTGGAAGGCTCGATGCGCTCATCGACGCTCTGGGACCTCAGAAGGTGAGAACGAACAGTTTGCGACAACAGGTGACATTATAATTTCAAAGCGGTCTTCAAAGTATCGCGATATCTTAACTCGTATAAATTACCAATATGGAACATGCCTCATGTACGCTAGCCTTTCCGAATCTATCGGGAGAATATGCAAGTTATACCTTAGCTATGTGCAACTGCTTCAATTGACCATGGTCTTTGTTATTGCATGTGTCATAGATAACATGAATCATGTTATCTATGCATATGCTAATTTAGCGTCAGCTTTTCAACATCAAGTGATTGCAGAAATGTGAAACACATTTCAGACAGAAGAACTTGCCGTTACCTGGAAATGGCGCTTTGAGGGATCTCGAAGAAACCTTAACCCTCGCATGTGTGCGGCGTTTTCCAGCTTCTAATGTGTAGGGGGGGGGGGGGGGTCGGTTGGACCCCCCCCCTTGCCGTTTGGCCCCTGATCGAGCTAGAGCTTCGCGGAAAAAACGAGCGTGTTGCCCGTGACGAGAGGAAGCCGATGATACCCAATTTTAAGGTCCTAGGTCATTGGTTGACCTTCCAGGTCAGGTCAATGACCCAAGGTCGGGAAAATCGGGACCTGTTAGAAAGTCGTAAAGTGTGGCTGATAAGGGGTTTTTCGGGGTGCTGATCACGAATATCGTGTTAGTTTTGATCATAGATGATGTCTTTAAGCATTTAGACCAGGTCGGGTCAGGTCAGGTCAGGTCAACCAGTAGGCGTCGTGACGGGTGTTAGTATTACGTGTAAACCGCATCTGACAGCTTCGTAACATGTTACGAAGTCACCAAAACTACTTCGTAAATGTTCAAATGGTTGCTAAATTCGAATTCAGCTCCAAAAACTAGCCTAGAAACATGTAAAACTCGAAAAAGTGAACCGAGGTCACCAAAGGTCAATGACCTGACCTGACCTTCAGGTGACCTTGACACCCACCCTAATGCATGGGAGCAACATCAAATCACATGTTTGAACGTTTGAAACCACGAAAAGCTTGCAAACGCGCGGCTAATGCCAGCCGACATACGCGGAATCGCGATTCCGGCCAAACATGGTCTCGGAAAAGAGGTCACAGGTCAAAGGTCATTTGGGTCAGGGTCATGAAATTTTCAGGGTAGGTGTAAAATTGATCAATGCGAGGGTACTGAAAGTTTCGTCGCGATCGGCCGCTTTTTACGCGAGTTATCTGCGAAAAACCATGGGGGGGGGGTCCATCCGACCCCCCCCTACACATGCGAGGGTTAAAGATAAACTCGCCAGGTGATCTGGCGTTCTGCCTGGAGAAATTCCAATGGCTGCTGCCCGCACTTGAGTAAGTCATGTTAACCCTCGCCGGCCGAGGGGGGGGGGCGGGTGCCGCCCCCCCCCATAGGGTTTTTTCGCGATAGCTCCGAACACGCTGGCGATAGAGAGCTGAAACTTGGCATACCTGACCTTTGATCCAAGTCGCATCTTTTGACACCAACCGCATTTTTGGGTCAGGTCAGGTCACTGACCTATGACGTCATAAGTGAACCTCTGCACGGTCTTCAGATGTCGCAACTTCGCAACGCCCTCACTGCCAGAGGAGATGTCACAGGGAAATGAAACTTGCAGGATCTAGTATCCATTATGAGTCCCACAACTTGTATATCTCGGATTTTTCCTAAAGGTCATATGAGGTCAGGTCATTTTCGTGACCTCACCATTATAAGTCAATGGGGAAAAATGAAAACTGCTATTCTGGCGCCGGGAACGATCTCCAACTATCTCAAGCACACCGAATCGTGATAAGATGCACTCCTTGCAAGGTTAGATGCGTCACTTTTGCAATGTTGACCTTGCGTGACATCATTTATGACGTCATCAAGGTCATATTAGTTTTTCGTCAATAACTCTTGATCAAATTGAGCTAGCGAGTCGGGAAAGCCACCAATGGACTCAGGAAGACCTGCCGAATCGAATGATATGCGACATGACCTCTTTCGACCAACTTCGTGACCTGGGGGTGCTGACCTGACCTTGACCTGAGGTCAACACCCCAAGTTGACCTTACCCGGACAAAAAGTATATCATTCGACGCACCTGAGTGAGACGAACACGATGCTGCCAAAATCGGCGCTCTGCGGCCGTTTTTTGCGAAGTTATTCACCAAAAACTGAACCGTACCTTGGGGCACTTGACCTGACCTCAGAGGTCACCGGTTGACCTAGGACCTTAAAATCGGGTACCAATCTCTGCGTCTCGTAACGGCGCACACGCTCGTTTTTTCCGCGACGCGCTAGCTCCACCAGGGGCGAAACGGCGAGGGGGGTCGTACCCGCCCCCCCCCCCCCCCTCGGCCGGCGCGTATGTAGAAAACCAATAGGTCCGGCGAGGGTTAACTCATCGGTATAAGCGACTTTTGCGACTTATAAAGACCCTATAACGTAGAACGGGTGGCGGACTTTTGTACGTTTCATTATGAGGGATTGAATGATTATTGTGGCAAGAGTGTATAAACTATGCTTTATGTGATTCATATGTTATGGCGATATGTATGGTACTGTACATATATCATAAAATTATTGTTATTTTTCAAAATATAATTCTGATGCAGTATTTTACATGAGATTACGTGGCATGAAATAACCACCGAAGCCTGTTTCATTGCAAGTTGCACTACATTTGTCAGCCATGAGTTGTATGGCACATCAGCTTATGTAGTTCCATGCAATCAATTAGGTCCCATTACTATTTATGTGTTATGACGCGCGTCTTGACCTCAGTTTACGCACCGCCGCGTCGCAGGGGGGACCTGGCCGCGATCGAGCGCGTGGCGTTCGAGTTTGTCGAGGACGAGGCTGGTAGCGCGGTGCTGTACACGGAGCCGCGGTTCAGCCCGCACCTGCTGGTGGGCGCCGGCGGCCAGGTGACGGCCCGCCAGGTGACGGAGGCGGTGCTGCGCGGCCTGGCGCGCGGTCAGCAACAGTTCGGCGTCACCGCCCGCCTCCTGCTCTGCTGCATCAGGGGGATGCCCGGTAGGAAAATACGTTATTGTGTATGGGATGATGCTTTTGTTAGCCGATTTGGTACCGGACTGTTGTTCATGGGAATGATGGGGTTGTGTGTGTTGTCTTATTCGTAAGGCGTTTCGCGCTGACCTCGGTTACCCTTAGAACAATTCAGAGAAGTGAGAACGTCCTTTGATTGCAGATGATTTATGCTTGACCTTGCTCGACAGGTAGCCTTATGATGGGACCCTGCTATTTAATATTCTAACTATATGAAGCATGAGCGTCTATTTCAATCGTAAGGGCCATCCGTAAGGTTCATCAACAATATCATGGTGTAATACGACTAACGACAGTTTGTTTGCTTATGAAGTCACATTTGCCACCGAAACAAGTTCATTTTTCCTCACCGATCTAACATGAAAATCTATTGAGCACAGCATATGTTAGGGAGCGTTCATTGTCGTATATCCGCTGTATTTGCTCCCCAGAGAACTACATGGACACGCTGGACATTTGCACAGAGTACCGCGACAAGGGCGTGGTGGGTATGGACATCGCAGGAGACGAGGCGATGGCCGTGCCAAAGGACGGCGACGGTGAGCATATGCTTTAGCGAATGAATAGGAAGCGATACAACGTCTTTTGAGTGAATACCAGAGGATGGAGATTCTGAATCGAGTGAAGATATTTCGGGCAAGCCATCGAGCATTGCTATTTAGTATAAAAAAGCTCTCGCAAAATAACAAGCAGGTACGGTACATTCTCACATACTTAGCTAACAAAATGGTGCTCCTATAACTTCCTAGCTGTCGCGTCCCTGATATTCCACTTGCTCTGCAATTTATAGGCATGCGTGGTGCTATAACAAAAGTGCGCTGATGTCTGCTTTGCTGCACATGTGTTTAATTTTTCACAGCCGCCAGCTGCATACAGAGCTCAGCGGCAGAGTTGGCAGTGTTCCAGGAGGCGGCCCGGCGCGGGATCCACCGCACAGTTCACGCCGGGGAGATGGGCCCAGCCTTCATGGTGCAGATTGTAAGTGTGATAGCACGGTATACATATAACCACTATACAGCTTGGCCAATCTTCAAGCTTCATCGTCCAGCCGAAAAATGGTGAATGTGGTTATTTACAGCAATGAAGTTGCCCTCTACATCATCAATAAGTATGCGCACAACTCAAAAGACGTAATTGAGGCGTCTTGAAGCGCTATTTACGTGCTCCACCATGCTTTAAATCTGACGGAAAGAATTTTATCGTGTCCTTTCTTTGCTCATCCTAGCAAGGGGAACACCAATATGAAGGAACTCTTTTTTCCATTTTGAGATAAGTACGTATGTGCTACAGGCCCTGGACGAGATGCACGCCGAGCGGATCGGTCACGACTACCACGTGCTGGAGGACGAGGAGCTGTATAAACGCTGTATCAAGGAGCGCGTCCACTTCGAGTGCTGCCCCTCCTCCAGCTATCACGCCGGACTAGTGCCGCTCACACAAACCAAACATCCCATTCAAAGGTGACTCTTCAATTCATAAGAACAAAGCCGTACTGGTTTGAAAATTACATAAAAGATCACTTTCTGTGATATGAGGTTATCGGTGGAGCCAACAAATAACTATGTAAATGAAATTACTTTTCCTGACGTTTTGATTCAAAGCAACCTTCGTCAGAATTACAAGTTAAAATGTAAAAAACCGTATCAAAATGCACAATTTTAAGCACACTGCGACTGAAAACATGTCAGTTTTCAGTCGCAGTGTACTTAAAATATGTGTATTTTGATACGCATGTTTACATTTTAACTTGTAATTCTGACGAAGGCTGCTTGGAACCGAAACGTTAATAAAAGTAATTTCATTTAGTTATTTGTTGGCTCCAGCGATAACCTCATAACACAAATATGTCCTTACATAATCGGCATCACTTTCTGTCTAGTGTATCTTTAGTTTTTTTTTGTAGCTGTTACAGCAATAATAAAATGCAATTGAACGTTTGATTTCAGGTTCTGTGAGGACGGAGCCAACTTTTCAGCGAATTTGGATGACACAATCATCTTCCAGTATTCTTTCGAGGACGAACACACCCTTTTGCGTCGTATGGGCTTCACCGAGGCTAACTTCGCCTCCATGGTAAGAATGCTGTCGAGTGCCGTGATGATTGTATGGCCTTGGTCATGATGAAGTCCTTCGCTGTCTTGCTCTTCTGGCGCTGTTTATCGTTGGGAAAAAACATGTGAAAACCTTATAAGCTTGCTGTCCTTAACCTGTGGGATGTGATGATGATATTTGGAGTTCGAACTGAGTATTCCTTTGGTGTGTATTGCTAGTTACTCTGATGAAATAAAAACTGTTATTACAAGGTTCCTATCTTAACCAATTATATGTAAGGTAAGTGAGGCATGAAGAGGCTGTTTTTTTTTTCGTTTCAGAACTTTAACGCAGCTAAAGCCTGCTTCCTACCTGAAGAAGAGAAAAAGGAACTGCTGAAGACACTGCTCAAAGCTCATGGTGTTCCCGACGTCATGTAGCATTACTTTACGTGTGCGTAATTACCCAATCTTCGGGCAACTCACATATTGTGAATAGAAAATGAAATAAATTTTTAACATGGGTTTTGAACGAAACAATTTTTCATGCATGCTGGGTATGCCTTAAGTACAGCACAAACCGGGCAGTAATATATATTTTTCTAACCGTGGTAACAGTTTCCAGTTTTTGATTAAATGTCAGTTGATAAAGCCAGCTTATGTAAATCCTTAACAAGCTGTTATATGCTGCCTATAATAGATCTTCATGCATTTATGTGCATTTCACAATGTCTGAGAACGAAACCCCTTGCTATAAGTGTGCTGTTGGATGTTATCACAATAAAATACACGGTAATGTTGACAATTTGAGACTTTGAAATAGGTATAATGAAATAAAGAGAGGCCAAACATACCAAGATTGGTGTAAAATTACTGGACACAAGCCTTCCAAAATATGATGATATACCACAATACCATTTGTTTCCTAAACACGGTGATACATGCATTTATTTAGATAAATGTGATATTCAGTATTGTAAGAAAACTTCAAATATAAGAGACAATGTTATCAGTCATGCAGTGCTAAAAAAAAAAACAATTTGTGCAAATAGTTTCACCGGAAATCTGAAAATGTTGAGTTCCGATGACCCATTCGCCGAAACCCTGCGTCAGCGAACAACCGATGGGCTGCCAGCCAAATTCACCGAATCCGGGTCTAAATGTTAACACCGCTGCCACGCTCCTGGGGAAGGGGGCTGAAGGGAGTGACGACAGAGCACGGCGGCCAGTGGCGAACGGGGCGCTCTCAGGGACAAACGACACGACACGGAAAGCTTATAATCGATTAATAAACACGCTCGAGTAACCACCATGACATTGTGAGGAACTATCGCTTCATCGGTGCTGGTCGTAAATTTAATTACAGATTTAGCGTAACATAAACTTATGACAAACCGTGTTCTGTGGTAATAATTAAGCGGAATGTCAGCGTCTCTAGTTTTGTTGTTTAACCCGCGCACCGACGGGGGGGGGCGGATATCCGCCCCCCCCTGAGGTTTTTCGCGAATAGCGGGAAAACCGCGGCGCGTAGCGCCGCGAAATTTGGTATGACTATTCCCTTATTAATTTTACACATGGTGTGCAAGTTTGAACCTCCTACCTTTCAAGGTCAGGTCACCAGGTCACTTTGAATGACCCAACCTCAAGTCACTTTTTTGCAACTTTGTCACCGTGCCAGAGCTACAGTAGATGTCGGAGGCCTTTGAAAGTCGCAGGATGTTATTAGGTCATTAGTAGCTACAATTTGTATATCTCGGAATTTTGATATCGGTGACCTAAGGTCAGGTCAATTTCGCGACCTCCCCATTATAAGTCAATGGGGGAAAAATCAACTCCCTGTTTTTACCACTAAAACGGGTCGGAATGGCCCCATATACCATACACGACTTCATATACGATCAACCTTCACTACCTTGAGGTCTGTTTTGCTGTTGGGCAGCTGTGAGGTCATGTGACGTCATCAAAGGTCACCAAAGGTTTTTGGCCAATAACTCCGTACAGGAACAAGATACAGACGCGTGGATGGTCTAATTGTGTTCAGCTCGTCAAGACGCATCGAATGATATACATGATGACCTCGAGGTCACGTGACCTGAGGTCAACCTTTGACCTTGACCTTTCGAGGTCAACATATATATCATTCGATGCGGATTGACGAGAGGATCACGATGATGCCCTTAGTTTGTTCCTATCTTGACTAATTCGAAAGTTATTCGAGAAAAACTCTCCATATTTAGCGCCGCCATTTTGACTTTTTCGACCCCTGTGACGTCATCTTTGACCTGACCTGAAAATGACCTTAGTAAAAATTGTAGATCTTGACCGTGCGTATCCGATGCCGTTTGCCGCTTGTCGCTATCTTGCTTCGTTCTCGAGATCTCAGGGGGGCGGTCATCCGCCCCCCCCCGTCGGTACTAAGTTGGCGCAGACCCCCGTCGGTGCGCGGGTTAACCCTCGCCCGTAAACGGTGTTTTGCCACCTTCGCCCATGCAGGGGGGGGGGGGGGCGTTGGTGCGACCCCCCTGGCGTTTGAAAACAGAGCGTCGTAGAGCTTAGCGGAAAAGACCAACGGATTGCTCTCAACGAGATCTCGCGATTGGTGGTATATTTTTTGGTCCTAGGTCAACATTTGACCTACTTATGACCGGTCAAAGGTCAAATTTTCGGAAAAATCTAACTTTTTCAGATTTCCGCGCCGATTGCGGCAAAACGGTAAAAGATATCGACTTGAAACCTTCACTATCATGATCCTTGATCAATTCTCTATCGTTTGGTGTGTATTTCGATGTCATAACTCTAAAAATGATGCGTTGGGAGCATCGGAAGTCTGCAAGGTCATTTGTGCATTGGGTAACGTCAGGCGTGTGACGTCACTGACCTGACCCTGACCCAAAATGAACTACAAGAAACAACCGACGATGCCTGAAATGGATAGCAAATTCGAATTCAGGGCATCAAAATACCCCGAAAAGGCATACAAGTGCAAGAAGTCATTACAGGTCAACCGAGGTCACTGACCTGACCTTGATCTTTAGTAACCTTGAAAAGGTCAACGGACATTGTGCCAATGTCAAATCAGCCAGTTATGATTCTAAAACAATCCATCAGTGTGTCAGGTCAGTCGGCATTTATACCAATGTGAAGCAATCTCCAATTTAGCGTAAATCTGGCCGGAGGTTGTTCCCTTTATGACGTCATAACTCCGTGACCTGACATGACCTTGACAAAAAATTTTACCAAAAGTTGCGCAAAGGATGCCCCAAAGGGTACTGAAAATTTGAGCAGGCTATCTGAAACGGTTCGGCGTGTAGCTAAGAAAAACCTCAGGGGGGGGGGGGGGTGCACCAACCCCCCCCCCCCCTACATGGGCGAGGGTTAATCTTCTAAACGTCTTCTACATCCAGACGGTTTTTACTATCTACCATACATCCAGTTCCCCAGACAAAGCTATTGGTTCTAAGCAGTCATGTCGAACTGAGCCACGGCAATAATCAGTGTCATGATGTCCTTCATAGTTTGGATAAAGAGGCTCCTGTCCAGGATGAAGTATCCGTTCATGTTCATGTGGACCTGCTGTCCATCCAGTTTGGCCAGGAGGACCGCGTAGTCTGGGTCGTCGTCGGTCCGGCTGCTGGCCAGGGTGTGGCCTCGCACCAGTTCGGCGGCCCTCTGCGCGCGGCGCACCACACGGTCACCGGCGTTGGTGGTCAGCTTCAGCAGCAGCAGCGGCAGCAACGAGGCCAGCCGCTCCAGCCAGACGAACACTGCCGAGCCCACGCCCACTTCCCTCTGGCCGCTCCGTGCGCGCAGGTAGATGTCCAGAGACAGGTCCAGCGCCATCGTGTAGATGCAGATGGTGAGCAGGCCGCCGAACGTGCGGCAAAACACGCCGGCCAGCTGGCAGAGCTGACCGTGCTGTCGCACCAGGCGCCGCAGCTGCGGGATGTTGTTCCGGCTCAGCGCCACCCGCAGGCGCCGGCTGACCCCGCGGAACGCGTCCGCCAGGCTCAGGCACGAGCCGTCCATGATCATGAGCCATACAGCTGTGCCATTGGCCATGCCGCACATGTTGATGATCAGGGCCACTTGAAACCAGACTGGGAAGCTGCTGAAAACTTCCTCCATGTGGAATGTGTAGAATGTCGTCAAAGCAACCATGAGCCCTACGTAGTTACGAACGTACCGTGTGGCGTCACGCAGCTCCAGTGGGTCGAAATTGTTTTCATATTGAGAGCACGCTTTGAAGTAAGCCTCCAGACGCCGGGCGTTAGACCATACCCATACAACCATCCCAAACCATTTAAGCGGAAGGATCAGAAAACGTAGAGCCGCGAACACCTGCAGGGCTGATCCGAACGTGAAGAAGGCCTTTGGGTAGCTGACGAAGGCGGCCGCCCCGAGCGCCAGCAGCAGAGCGGAGATGAGCGCACTGCGCAGCGCGGCCGTCGAGAGCGGTCTCCAGGTGCCGTCCGAGCCGGAGACGGGCACTACGCCGCACACAGAGCCCAGCAGCAGGGCGGGCCGCAACGCGCGCAGAAACGCGCCCGGCCGGCCGCCTGCGGAACACCGCCCCGGCCCGTCAGCTGGGCGCGCGACACACCGTGAACACCGCACACCGCTCAGTCCAGAAAAGAAATAAAGGGAGGAATAATCAGCTTTATTTACGATTATTCATAATTTGAAACGCTTTGGGCATTGCCTTTCTATCCCAGTAACTACCAGCAACAAACAAAAATCAAGTAAAATAGATTGCAAAGATAGAAGTGCGTACCTTGTGGGAGTGCTGGTTTGCTCATCGCGAAGAGTCCGGCCTGACGGTTCGAGTACAAGACGGGGACACTGCCGACGCGATCTCTCATGTCCGTCTATGGCCCCGTGTGACCTGTGGTCTGAGTCTTTGTGCCGCGGTCGATAGTGTGTTTGCGCACCAAAGCCGATGCTGTCAGGCCGGGCTGACTCCTGTCAGAATACGATGACTGCAATGGCAGTGCTGACACCATCCACTGGTAACACCTTGGCTGTTCAGCCATTCATCAACGTGCCTGCGTACCGGGCAGCAAGACAGGTGGTTTGTAAAGCTGAATGCATGGCTTTGCTTGGCAAACACGTTTGCATCTCGAGTTCGATAGGAATGTGGACACACGTTGTGCCATTTTGTGAATGAGCCCGGAACCGTTTTGCCCGGAACGACTGAAGGGTGTCATCTTGCCGTTGAATAGTAGCGCTTTGAAACGTAAGGTGATTGGATGGATGGATGGTAATGAGCATACGGAACAAGACCTAATAACAGGAAGTTACAAGGAATTTCTGTAACGATGGAGCTGATGAATTTAGAGTACTAGAAAATAGGACCTTCTCTTTGCTTTTTCTTTTTATCTTTAAAAAGAAAAAGTATCTTTATTTATCTTTATTTTTTATCTTTTTATCTTTATTTTTTTCTCGGCATTATGTTTGCAAAACATGCAATAGCATAGCAGGTAATAAAGCAGGTATGGCATCGTAAAAGATGTAACAATACGGTGCCAGCCACCGCTCTTCAATATTTTTTTTTTCGAAACCCCTGAGGGGTGAAAGCAGTCCCTCTCTTCAAATGGGGCCGAGCTGGTGAGACTGACCGGGCCGAGCTGTGGGGACGCGGAGGGCGGGGGCGGGTATATAGGCGGGATGTCAGCGGTCCGGAGCGGGATGGCCGACGGCCCGCCCGCGGAAGTCAGCCGGACGTGCTGTGGCGGTACCGCGCCCTCTCACTTCCGGCCGGCCGGGCGGGGCGGGGCGGGGCGGGACGGGCGGGCGGCGGAGCCCCCGTCGCACCTGTCGCAGGCCCAGTGAGCGCCGCCCGCCCGCCGTGTCTGCCCCAGCCGGCCACCGGCGGCGGCAGCTGCCCGAACCGCCCGCATCAGTGCAGAGTGGATCGGGTGGGCAGGTCACGAGCGAGCAGCTGGGGTGCAGAGAGCTCCCAGCAGCACGGGCAGTCGGTCTGGCCTGTTGGAACCGAAACTGCTCCCTGCGAGAGGTGCGTGGAAGCAGCGACCCGGCTTGGCTAATCTGTGGGCACTAGGGCTTTGGAGAAATAAGTGTGGGAAGTTTGTGTGCTCTGAAACTGAAGACTGGTGATTTAAAGTGATTAATGTAAACACAGCTTTGGTAGTGAGATGACCTGTGAAGGCACTAGGCTCTTGTTCAAACGAACCGGAAAGAGGAAACGAGCGAAGAAGCTAGTGATGGACACGGGTCAGCTTCGGCCGGGAGACCGGTGCCGTGACCGTGACCCGGCTGCCCGTGTACAAAGTGACTGTGTGACAGCTCGCGGGACAATATGTGGTGTGCAAGGTGCCGCGGAGGCTGCGAGGGCCCGAGAAAAGGACTGCTTAGTGTGGACTCAGCCTGTGAGGAGGGGCGCTGTGAGGACAGCCGTACAGCTCTGCCGAGTAGTGACCGTATTTGGTTTGTTGGTGGTTATACTGCCGGGAGTTACGGGTCAGGGACGCACTGCTCCGATCATCACCATACGACAGGGATCGCTGGAAGGGGTGAGTATCATTTCTCCGCTCACAAAACGTCGAGCAAACTGCCGAAGGATTGGCAACTCATGACGTGGTGTGATGTCACAGCCTGATCACGGTCAAAATCATGCAGTTTATTTATCATACTGCACTGAAAACAAATCTACTCTTCTCTCGTGAGTAAACTCACGGAAGAGCGGTTACATGGACACCACCTATTTGACGGCCCCAGCGACCGGTTAATCAACTCACCACTTGCCGGTCAACTTTCCGATGAAACGTGCGTTTACTCATGCATATTTACCCACGCTCGATGAGTTAACTCATTGTGAAAACTGATGTATCGCTGGTTACTCATTTCCGTTACTCTCATTCTGTGAGTTAGTTTACTCATGGATGGGCGGTTTTATGGACACCACCTATTTGACTGCGCCAGCGACCGGTCAATCTACTCACCTTACTCATTGTGAAAACTCATGTATCACTGGTTACTCATTTTCGTTACTCTCATTCTGTGAGTTAATTTACTAATGGATGGGCGGTTTTATGGACACCACCTATTTGACTGCGCCAGCGACCGGTCAATCTACTCACCTCTTACCAGTCAACTTACTCATCAGTGAGGTAAGGTTGACCGGCAGGAGATGAGTAGATTTTCCGCTGTTAACATTACGGATAACGCGACTTATCAGATTTTCATTCCCATCTTGCGTGTTATTTCGTGTGCAAAATAGCATGCAAGACGAGGAAGAACATCCAACAAGACCATATACTATCCGTTATACTAACACCGAGCAATGACACCGAACACAGAAACGTGGTCGTTTTATAGGAACAATCAACAAGACATCGAATGTTCTGTAAAACGACAAGTGCGTGGATACCTATTGTCATGCCATGGGCGACATAAAATTGACAAAATAATAACCCTGCGCTCATTTTGTACTGTTTAGAACGAATGACAAGTCAAGAGAACAGCAAAGTTAAATCTGTATTCCATGCACATACGAACAAGCAAGCTGGACAACCTATTATGGACGGCAACGCTCAATGATCATAGCTGGTTGCAAGACCAGACCAGCTATAGGAACCCATCATAAGGAGCAGACGGACCTATTATACCAAGCAGCTTTCTATTTCACAGTCTTATGTGCGATATGTTATTTCGTATTCTATAGAAAGGTCGTGCAACCAGCATGTGAAAGACGCAGTTTCAATAGTCATTTAATACGCAAACACAGTTTCAATGGTTTGGTTAACTGATACATTTCCGACTCCAAAGCTCTGCCTGTGCTTTACATCAAAGTGCCTTGTATCTCATTCATTAGCGTCCAACGTTTCACGTCTCTTTACGGTTTAGGGACACCCTGCAGCAAAATATAAACGAACTGCAACAAGCTAATTCAACTGCAACTAGTTACAATGACAAAAACTTGCAGAACAGAAAACAGAAACAAACAGAGAAAAGTATGAGGCACCAACAGAACTCTGCCGGTCAGTCTCTGTCCCGGCAGCTGGTCACTTAACCTTCGCCCTGGTGGGGGGGGGGGCCATTTTGGCCCCCCCTGTGGTTTTTCAGCGATAACTCAGAAACCACTTGAGTTAGCGCCCTGAAACTTTGTATAGCTGTTTATTCAACATTTTTACATCATGTCCTTTTTTGGGGGGTTCGGGTCAGGTCAGGTCAGGTCACAAGGTCACCAAAACTGACACCACCTCTAAAAAAGTTCAAAGCTCTCTCAAAGGCACAGCTTTTATCCGATCGATGTAAAATTTACAGTACTTGAAGATGTCACCCAGCTCTACAAAATGGCTATCTCGGATTTTTTATAAATGTGACCTAAGGTCAGGTCAGGTCATCGCTGCTCCCCATTATAAGTCAATGGGAGAATCGAAAAGTAGTTGTTTTTCAGCTAAATCGGGCGTGATTGTTCCTATATTTCGTTATTGAAGTGTCTTGGGTCAGCAAATCACAGCCCATGTGAAACCATTTGCTTGTGACCTCGCTGAGGTCACGCTAGGTCATCTCCCTGGTCACCAGAGGTCACCAGCGGTTTTTCTGCACTTACTTGTTATTGAATAGAGATAGAGACTCCGTTCGACGTTTATCGTGTTTGTCTCGTCAATGCGGATCGAATGATATGCAGCATGACCTATTTCGGTAAGGTCATGACCTTGACCTGAGGTCAAATTTTCAAAATGACCTTTCGAGGTCAAACTATATATCATTCGACGCGTCTCGACGAGCCAAGCACGATGGTGCATGAATCGTTTCTCTATTTTCTCGTGAATGCATGCTATAGTTAAAAACATTTTCAACGAAATTTGCCAAGTTGACCTTGCATGACCTCTGTGGGCCAAACCGTTGAGCTGAGGTCAAATCTGACGAACCTTGGCGAAAGAGCTTGAAAAGAGCTATCGATTGCTTTTTTCCGCGGCTCTCTAGCTCTTCTAGTTTCCGAGCTACAGCGGAATATGTCCGGCAACACCGAAAACACTGAAATTTGACCTATGATGACCTCTAGCGACCTCAATATTGACCTTAGCGAAAAAATGACTGAAATACTTTCGAACGTACTTGTTATGGGCTTTCGTTTGCTTTTTTCCGCGTCTTCCTAGCCCTCTTCGTTTTCGAGTTAGACGGGGGGGGGTCATTTTGGCCCCCCCCCCCCACCAGGGCGAAGGTGGCTCAGACCCACACCAGGGCGCGGGTTAAGTCGACCGCCGAGGTTAGCTCTTTGAACTCGACAACCGTCTCATTCTCCACGTAGAGCATGCCACTCGAACTTGCGGCCATGGGTACTGGGGATGGCTGAAACACAGCTCCGTGCTCGCCAGCGCGGTGCAGCAGGTGGTCGACTGCATCGTCTGCAACGAGAACAAATATTTCCGATATTATTAATGGTTATATTCCGAGCAAGTTGCCTCGGGTCGATTAACGCATATTTTACTCTCGAGTGATGTAACGGTTTTATCCCGAGCCGTCAGGTGAAAAAAAAAAACAGGAACTCTGAGAGTGCAGAAAATAGAATATACACACCCGGGGCTGGGGACAATTTAATTATGTCACCGAGTTTTTACCGAAGCTCCGAGGGTCATTAGACCCGAGGTATTTCGATAAAATACGAGGCTATATCATTAAATTGCCAGCCCTAGGGCAAGTTCATTTCCAAACATGCAACGCTCACCAATGTCCACAAAGTCCATAAATGCTGCTAAATAAATTAAATTTAGCAGAGGGCCGGACAACGTCCTTGAAGATGGGCAGGGCAACATATTATTCAGACGGAGGCTGCGCGGAGCGAAGCCGTATGAACAAAAGTATTATAAGAGCAAAAGTATGAACGAAGTCAAATGAACATTCACTCTCTATACTCACCGATAACGAGCCAGCTCTCCTCAATGTCCATCGCCGGCGGCCCGCTCGCGCTGGTGCCCTCGACGGGGTCGGCGGTGGCGGCCGTGACCTCCGCATCGACAGAGTTGCTGGGACCCTGAATAACAAACCAATAGATGTTATTAATGTACGCCACAACAATACACAGTTTACAGTTACGGTCAGCCAGTCTATTTTGAACAGAGTTTCCTGAGAGCAAACTAATGCACCGGTGCTGGGAGAAAATGTCATCTGATTTTGCAACTTCTGTTGTTTAATTTTGCTGCAATACGTTCTACTGGTTTGTTTAAAAAGCGGGCATTAAAATTTAAAACATGTTTGCCTACCTAACATACAAAAATATGTGTCTGTCACGTTCAAAAGGCACTGCGGAACATTTAGATTGCTGGTTAGTTGAGTTGGATCTGGGCAAATTAAGTGAATTTGAGGCTCATTTTTTTCAGGGCAAAGCAGTTTTCTTAGGTTATTGATAAAGGGCAGATATTAAGTTACCTTAAGCCCGTGTACTAATTGTGAGGCAGTTTTTTGCTATCTTTTTACGCTATCGTTTTTACGCTATCTTCGAAAAACCTTAGGGTGGGTCGCATCGACTCCCCCCCCCCCCTGCCAGGGCGAGGGTTAACGTCCATGGAAAACTGCAGTGTGGCATGGACACTGGCCAGCCTGCGAGTTATGTGCACAATGAATATTTGTGGTGAAATTTCATCTGAGAACAGCCCATAAGCAGTTTCAAAATCATTTCTCACCAGACACCAAGCACAGCATTTCAATTTCCAACCTACCCACCTTTGACCTAAATCAATTTTTTATAATAGCTGGGCACCTGTGAACTTGCATATTTTGCCATTTGTTTGCATTTGCATTTTGGTATTCCTCTGATAGGCATGTCACAGGTAGCTTTTGGATGGTGCTGGTATTTTCTTTTTGTCTTTAGCAGTGATAAACCATCAAAATAGGTCACAATTTTTTTTTTTACCCTGAATTTTAAGGCTCTGAAAACCTGATGCATTTTCTAACTCAGCACATATAGATAATAGATGCACGCTGGACATGCACTGCAGCTTTTGGCATGAAATTTTGCCACTACAAGCATTACCCTGGCTATGTGCATATTAATAATATAAGCTATTCTGCCTGTGACCCTGGATCTGGATGTACAGTGGTCTATAAATTCATTATATGCTGCTTGAAGGGCAGTCTGATACCTAAACTGCAGTATGACGTGGGCGCGGGGTCACGCATGTGGACTTCCTGGCCCCTTTACTGTATATCAATGTCCCAGGCCTGCATGTAGGTTAGCAAAGAGAGCTGTCGTTTAATTATCCGGTATTTTCCACGCACAATACCCTTAATAACGCAAAATATCTGGTAATTTACTCACCTTAACTTGCAGCACGCGACTCCCCCTGCACACACGGATCCGGCCGGAACAAAAATGGCGGCGAGGCGGCCTATGATCCATCGGTAAAGAAACACGTCAAAAACGAGTTTGATAACCGGTCGGCTGTGAGTACGCTTTTTACGCACGAGTTGTGATTTTATTTACTCATAACTCATTTCCAGAACTCGCTTTCTACAGATTTAGTGAATGCATGATTCGTGAGTACGATAATTACGCGCAATACATGAGTCAAGAAACTCGCATTTCCTGACAGACAACCATTATTTCATGCGTTTGGGGCCGCCTTACTCATGGATGGCAGGTCATTGATTTCTTTGTATGAGTTTTTGTAATGAGTAAACCAGAACTCAGGGCTTGGAATGCTTCATACACGAGTAAACCAGCGGTTGAAACTCATTAGCGGCTGGTAAAATGACCTTTACTCTCCATATACGAGTAGATTTGTTTTCAGTGTGTCGTCCAGACAGAACCGTCATCCAGAGCCGTCAAAATCATAAAATTCTAGAGAATCGGAATATTTAATTTTATATGCATTTTAATTCCTACAGGATTCTTAGTTTTCTTCATTTTCAATCGGTTTATATCATATTGTGATCTAGGTTGGTATGTAATTTAGCGTTATTGACGAGATTGGATAAAATGGTTACACAGAATTTCGTGTTACGCTGTTTTTTTTTTGCTTCTGGTCATCTTTTACTTGAGCTTGTTTATCCGTCGATAAGGCGCACTGAAAGATGCCAGTTGTTTGGCCTCACTCACGTGATGTCTTTTCAGGTTCGGGAGTACGTGGACCCTCGCCAGAGGCCAGTGTTTTCTTACAAGGGCATTCCATACGCCACTCCGCCGGTGGGAAGCCTCCGATTCAAGGTGAGAAACGCTATGTTATATACTTTAAACTACGATAGTACTCACGCCTTTATCAAATAAATGAACATTGCCTTTCGTATGGAGTGATGGTCGTTTTTATGATGCTCTGAATTTTCATGAATGTCATGCTTTCCCGTATAACCAATTAAAGCGTTAAAACGTTTTATAAATGAAATCATGACCCTACCCTATTATTCAAAGCTCCTGCAATCTATAAGTGTATTTTCTTCTTCCGATGTTGGCAGCCGCCGGTTCGCGACTATGGATGGAACCGGACCCAGCGGTTCGACCGGTTCGGACCCGAGTGTCCCCAGCTGGACGTCCAGGGAGTGCCCGAGCCGGGCGTCTCGGAGGACTGTCTCACGCTCAACGTCTGGATACCGCAGGTAGGTCCTCATTCAACGTCTGGATCCCGCAGGCAGGTCCTCACACTCAACTCCTGGATCCCTGAAATGTGAAAGTAAATGCAGTGAAGATCTGACGTAAATCGTTACTCTAGACTCGTCAGAAAATCGTTAATCGTGAATCGTGAATCGTTAAATCGTCATATATTTAGAATTTAAATCGTTTTTAACGTCAACTTGTTACTTAAGATTTAGCGATAAACGATTTACAATTAATGATTTTATGACGATTCTACAGTAACGGTTTACGAAACATTTGGCTGCATTCACTTTCCTGCCTAATTTCATCAACATCCCGAAAATAGGATCTCACAGATATAGGTCACATCAGCAATGCCATACAAGCGCGTAAACAACAGTGCACCGATGACAGAGATATGGGCCAAATGGACACAAAAAGCAGCGGACAGATTTTAGATAACGCAGTTGAATAGTTATCAACGCACACACGCTGCATCCAGAGGTTTAAGTAAATAGGTGAGGCTGGAATGTGGGAGGCACTTATCACATACAATAGAGAGAGGACAATAGGATAAATATTATTAATATGTATATAGCGTTAAATTAAAAAGAAGAATGGTGATTTATCAGATTAGGTTCATTGCATACCACCTATAGTAATGTTACCGTATGGAAAGAAAGATCACTTGGTACAGATACCGCCTCGTCAGCTCAATGTCGAACCGCCATCCATCGATGCCTCATAATGCCTCATCGCAATGAGCGCCATGATTTAAGTGCGTAGCACTTTTGCGCCAATTGCATACTTTATTTGTTATATTCATCTGTTTGTTATTGAATAAATGGTCTCTCTCTCTCTCTCTCTCTCTCTCTCTCTCTCTCTCTCTCTCTCTCTCTCTCTCTCTCTCTCTCTCTCTCTCTCTCTCTCTCTCTCTCTCTCTCTCTCTCTCTCTCTCTCATCGAACTGATATGATTCGATGACTGGCAATCAGCGCCGCTTTCCACGCACGCCACGCCGGGCCGGGGGCTGCCACGCACCACGCGCACCGTTTCCGGCACCGTGGCCGGGGGAGGGGGGGGGGGGCGTGGCGGCCAGTTCCACACGTGCGCGGTGTGCCCCGCCCTGTCAGCACCCCCTCTCAGTCCCCGATCAGCGGAGCGTCACCTGACCCGGCAGACCGAGCGGCGGTGGCCCGAGGGTCTGGAGGGGCGCTGGGGGGGGGGGGGGGGAGCTGGGCGGGGAGGGACCGGTGCGCGGCTGCGGTAGGACGGACTGACGCCACCCGACCGTGACGTGTGACGTCATCGGTTAAACACCGGATCTGCTCTGTCAACGAGAGCGAATGGGGCCGGGGAATCCTGTCACGGGTTGAAACGAGACCAAACGAATGTGAACCTCTGCTCTGTATCAATATAAATCTATGTAAGGTGGTAAGTGGGAGATGTCTGCCGCCGCGCTGATGCGCCACAGCGGTCAAGTTCGTCCCATAAAACAGACCCAACCCGATGTTTCACAATTCACGCAGTGGCGCAAGCGGCCATACCGAAGGAATGCGCTCCTATTTTGACGCTTCCTTTCTGCGTTCCAGGTCCCGGACGGCTTCCAGCGTTTTCCCGTGGTCGTGTTTTTGAATGGAGAGCTGTTTTGGAGACAGAGGGCCTCCCGCTACCCTCTGGAGGAACTCAGCTCCGAAGATATTGTCACAGTCTCCGTCAGCTACAGAACTAACTTGTTCGGTGAGAAATTATTCAAATGCTGCTTCTGCAGCCGGTTTTTTGTTTGTTATATTTTCCCTTCGAGCTGGATAATACATCGGCTCACTTATTTATATCACCATTTCATCTCGAACTGCTAGCTCCACCAGTTGCACTCACTTAACACCCAATTTGATAAAATGTCATTTGCTAGCTAAAAGTTTTGACCACTCCTCTGGTCCCGCCAGGTTTCTTCACTCTGCAGTCGTCGGCGGCTCCGGGGAACCTTGGCCTGCGGGATCAGCAGCTGGCGCTGCTCTGGGTCCGCGAGAACATCGGGGCATTCGGCGGTGACCCCCGCCGGGTCACCCTAGTGGGCTTCTCGGCAGGCGCAGCTTCCGTCGGCCTCCACTTGGTGTCGCCCCAGTCGCAGGGTCTGTTTCAGCGCGCTATGCTGGTGTCCGGCTCCCCGCTGGCCACCTGGGCCCACATGGAGGCCAGGGAGGCGCGCCGGATTGGGCAGGAGGTGACGGCCATCATGGGCTGTCGCAGCGGCAGTGACTGGGAAGCGGTGCGCTGCCTGCAGGACCAGGACTTCATGCGCCTGCTGACGGCCGCGCAGAGGATCCTCGAGGTGAGAAATGGGTTATATTTGTGTAGCTGTGTTCGCTGATTTTCTTTAACATAAACAAAACGTAGGCATAAGAAGTAATTGATTGATTAAGCAAAATCTGTGTGCTGCTCCTTTCTCAGTTTTGTATCCAATAGCGTATCCTCCCGACGATATTATTTTTATCCGGACACCGCTACGAGTATGTTTTTTTAAGGGGTAAACATCACTCACCAATTCCATGCCACATACACGTACTTGACACTCTGCCCTGCCCCATTTCAGTCGCGTGGTCGGTTCCACCCGGTGTTCGCCCCGGTCACCGACTCATTTGTCGTCTCACGTGACCAGTTTCTGCCCGAGGACCCTGACCGTCTCCTGAAGCGCGGTGACTTCGTCAAGGTGCCCGTCATGAGTGGAGTAGATGCGGACGACGGCGTCCTCCTGCTCTGTAAGTCCAACGAGAAGTACTGATAGAGATAAGCGAACTGTTATGAATGCCAAATGACAGCTCAATGACATTTATTTCACTGGATTAAACTTACCCGTGGTGTGCGTCTTACTTACTTTTGGATTGCTTATATCTGAGCTGTTTCATTGCCGGTATGTTTACGAGTGTAGGTGCCAGACGATTACTTGGATTCTGACGTAGTTTTAGAAACAAGCCTCTGTAATTACATGTTGATGTTAACCATGGCTCGATTTCCTGACGGTCTCCGCCGGTTCACAGACCAGTACCCGGGCACGGACCGCCTGACGTTTTCCAACCTCACCGAGGTGCTGCGACGGGTGGTGATCCCTCGCCTGCTGGACCAGCGGGGCCTGACGCGGCGGCGCGCGCTGCTGACCGGCGTTCTCAGCTACCGCTACGTGGACACTGTGCCGCCCGGCAGCCAGCAGCAAATGCTGACCAGCTTCGTCAAGGTCAGATGCCAAAGTGCTGGTCCGGATGGAACCGACTGTGGGGACGATGTTTCGACTGCATGGTGAAGAATGAACTGGCCCCTGTTACGTTATTCGTTTACGATTACGTGTATGATCGGTAAATAACAGCATTGATCATGTTGGGCATAACAAAATATATAGTGGCATTTACATAGCTGGCCATCCTGTTAAAGTAGAATTACAGCCATGAGTTTTGTGTTTATTATGCCTTTTGCGATGCGTTTGTTTAGTGAACGGTATTTTCACTAAATATTGTTTGTTTTACAGATATTCAGCGACGCCTATTTTGTGGCGCCGCTGTACTCGTTTCTGGACCTGTACGCTCGCAGCGGTGCCGATTTGTACGCCTACGGCTATAATAGAGAGGGACCGGACATCTTCGGGAACATCGTCTCACTACCAAGTGTGTCTCGGGATGAGATGATTGTTCGCAACAGCTAGCTTGCGGCCCTGGAATTCGAATTTTTCCCGTTACGCTACCGGCAACGTCTACGCTGCTCCTTCTTAAATAAACTTTTTTGGTTCTCCGTTGACGTAATCTGTGAATTAAATAAAAAAATAATTAAATTTTGGCGTGATAACGAAATATTGCATTCATTTATTTATTTGCAGGTAGGTAAATGTGAAAAGCTGTTATAAGCCACGGTTATTAGCCAATATTCTGGTACGGATTTCCAGTGCCTGTTCCCGCCCTAAGCCATTTGTCATTTCCCCACTGCAGGTGCCAGCCACGGCTCTGAGCTGCTGTACGTGCTCGGTCCATCCATGTACCGGGATCTGGTCGGTGGAACGTACGGTGCAGTCCAGCAGAGGCTCGGTCAGAAACTGCGCACCTACTGGAAGGGCTTCATCACCGACGGGTGAGGACTGGGTGAACATGAAAAGGGTGAAACGCTTGAACTTGAACGCTTGATCAGTACAAGTTCAGATGCACAGCGGACTGAACTGCTCAGCGTGCTTTTTTTTCGATAGCGGTGCCGTGCAAAGCTGAGTTCTTACTTTACATCGTCCCTCTAAGTAAGCTCTGACTTCTGAGACATCGGTACAGCACGTACCGGATAAATTGTACGTGTGACATGGTATTCGGACTTCGGTCGGTGCGGGGATCGAAGGCAGTTGTGTCTCTCCGGCCAATGATCGGTGATGTGACCCCACGTCCCCCGTGACCCGGTGATGTGACCCCACGTCCCCAGTGACCCGGTGATGTGACCCCGCGTCTCCCTGTCCCCGCAGTGACCCGGTGATGTGACCCTACGTCCCACGTCCCCAGTGACCCGGTGATGTGACCCTACGTCCCACGTCCCCCGTGACCCGGTGATATGACCCTACGTCCCTGCACAGTGCACAGTGACCCGGTGATGTGACCCCACGTCCCGCAGTGACCCAGTGATGTGACCCCGCGTCTCCCTGTCCCGCAGTGACCCGGTGATGTGACCCCACGTCCCCTGGCCCGCAGTGACCCGGTGATATGACCCTACGTCCCCAGTGACCCGGTGATGTGACCCCACGTCCCCTGTCCCGCAGTGACCCGGTGATGTGACCCCATGTCTCCCCTGTCCCCACAGTGACCCGGTGATGAGACCCTACGTCCCACGTCCACAGTGACCCGGTGATGTGACCTACGTCCCCTGTCCCGCAGTGATCCGGTGCGCGGCCGGTACGGGGAGCGCTGGGACCGGTACACCCTGGACCAGCCCGTGTTCCAGGACCTCGTCCATTCCGTCTCCGTGGTCGGCTACCGACGAGAGGACGCCAGCTACTGGAACAAGTTCCTCAGCTTTATCGCCGCCGAGAACACCGGGCCGAGCCCGACGGAGGGAGTCACTACTGAACCACTCGGTGAGAAACTGGGGAGAGCCTATGAAAGAGATAGAAGTGCGAAAACACAATTATTTTTGGCTACGAAGGTGATGCAATGCGTGTCTCAGCTCCCGTCAGACGGTAACTTCTCTTTCTGGCAATGTCCACTAGATGTCACTAGGAGTCAACGCCTGAATTTATGCTGTGCCGCACTACACCTGTTATAATGCTCCATGCCCATTCCGCGTAACATATGCCAATATAGCAAAAGAAGCGTATTAATTAAACGTAGGCTGCTATTTGGAGCAATTTTTTTCTAAGCGATATCACGAATGCTCATTTTGGCTTGATCTTTCGCATGAAACGCGTTCTGTTCGCCGATATTCTTCTTCGCTCTCAAGTCTGTGAATGATTTGCCGGTGGTTACGATGGTCCGTTGATCTTCGATCTCCATTTCATAAGCAAACCCTTGTATGTGCTTTATCAAGCTCCTTCCAATGAACCATCCACCTAAATTCAGTGTCATTTTCTGCCGGCAGTGGGCTCGGGCCCGCAGTACGAGACGGCCACCTGGGTGCTGCTCGCCGTCCTCCTGCTGCTGATTGTCGGCCTGCTGGTGGCCTTCCTGCTCACCCGCCGACGGCGCCGCCTCAAGTCGGACATGGCGTACGGGTAGCAATCCGCCGCGGGGCCGCACGCGATGTACCGACGCAATTCTCTGGTAGCAGGTTTGTCGTCAACGTCTTCACGAGCGGCACGCCGGCGGGCGGCGAGTTCCGCCTCGGCCGACCGGATGGCGCGCAGGTCGTACCACCAGGGGGCCGCACTGGACGAGCCCGGCTCGCTCCGGCGGATGGCCGAGCTCAGCGCGGGGGTGGAGCGGCTGGACCAGGGGGGACGCGACTCGCCGATGTCCGGCAGGTCGGGGAGATCGGGCAGGTCGGCCAGGTCAGGTCACCAGGTGGCAGTGGCCGGCGGCAGAGGTCGTGACCGGCAGGAGCTGGTTCTGAGGGACGCGGCCGGCTCACTGCGCCACCTGGCGGTGTTGAGCGCCGGCCGGGCGAGGCTCGACCGCCATGCTGCCGAGCTGTCGCGAGCCTCGTCACGGGCCTCCTCCCGACCGTCCTCTCGGGCCTCGGCGAGACCCGGCTGGTCGAGAAGTCGCATCACCAGCGCGGTTCGCATCGAGCTGCACGAGACAGGCTCGCCCCGCCTGGACCGCTCACCCCGCCTGGACCGCTCGCCCCGCCTCGACTGTCCCTCGCCCCGTCTCGACGTTCCTCACTCCTCACGGTCGGCTGTCCTGGATCGCGACGAGCTCGACCTGGACTGGTCCGACGGGGACGTCAGTGACACGGAGCGACCCGAGTGTGACGTCACCGACGCGGCCGAGCGCCCCGAGTGTGACGTCATCAGTCGGGGCGGCGGCCGCGTCGGGCGGTACGGTGTGCAGCGGCTGCCCTCGGGCTACGAGGGCGAGGTGGCGCACGAGTACTGCGTGGTGGTCGATCATGTGCCCACTCCCGTGCCGCCGACCGCCGTCAGCGGGCTCGCCGACATGGAGACGCTCTTCTGACGTCATCTGTGTCAGCTGTTGACGTCACTGGTGCTGCTGGTGAAGACGTTACGACGACAGAGCTTTCACGGTACACAAAGCGTGCGGTCCCGTGGATCGTGTCAGGCGGCTGATGTATGTTGTATGTATGTTGTTTCAGCCGCTGTATGTGTGGGCGTTTGAGTGCTTGTGAGTGTCCTAGTAACGTATGGGTTAACGTGTATGTGTTTTTCTTAAATTACGTGTTGACACGGATGTCCGGTTGTGCTATAATGTGGTGATTTTGATCTGAAAGGGTTCAGTGAGAGTTATGTTATTTTTACAGGAACACATGTTTTTTTTTTAATAATTAAAGATCTTGTTCTGCAAACACACTAGATTTAAGCTAATCTGCAGTGCACCAAACCATATCCGCTGAAGCAGGTTCATGAATGTCGCCCATGAGTTTCGTTCTTTTAAAGCCTTGCTAGTATTATTTGATGAGAAACGTGCATGTGGATTGTGGGTGCTAATTGATGTCGAGGATTCAGCATTTATGCGCGGTATTTTGCCTGCAACTGAACACTATTTGCCTCTGATTTCACTCATGGCTTTTGAACGAAGGCTCGAGACAGAGCTAGAGTACCTTTACTTAAATGGGCATTCGTAGCTTTATTTAGAAGTCTAGGAACAGCCTGTGAAGTAGTTTGTATGGTAATCGCATGGCCATTCGATTTGCAACCATCTGCTGCTTTTATCAGGTGAAGCGCTTTATGTAGAGTAGCGATTAAACTTGTCCTCCCGTATTGTTTTAGCTCAAACGGTATGTTTTCGTTTTAGCAATAAGCGCAAATTTGGAAGTTTTGCGTGCTTACATCAGCATTGGAACAAAACATTGTAGCTCAGAATGCCTGTTTTATTATGTTACGAATCGTGTCATAGCTCTAGTCTGCCAGTGTTTACCTTTTTGAGCCATCCTAAAATACCATTTACACATGTTTCGGATGAAATTATCCATCGTTACTTTTCTGAGATGGTATGGTTCGTTATCATATGACGTCTCTGACGACTGAAAATAAAATCTGCTTCAGACACTCTTTTTTTTCTTCTCTGAATAGCTCTAACAGTGGGGAAACTTAACATTATTTTACTTTAGCGCTATTTACTGAGACAAAACGACATCACCGACAGCCGTTAGTCGATAGTTACGAGCGAGCGAGCGCAGCGAGCGAAGCGAAGTCTTTTCAATATAACGGAAAAATCTCAGTATGAGCGGCCCGGCCCGGCCCGGCCTGTAACGCTTTTGAGAGGCTTATATCTCAGCAACCGCTGGACCGAATGGCCTGCGGTCTTTTTTGCTGGGTAGCCCCATCCCTTCTACCCCGTAATTGACTACTTTTGATACATCTCAGTGACCGCCGTGGCACGTGCCACGTGAAAAGTCAAGGGTGTTCAAGCAGTTTTGCAAAAGTAATGATTTTGAGAGGCCCATATCTCAGCAGCGGCTTGAGCGATTGTCTTGCGGTCATTTTTATAGGGTAGCTGCATCCCTTCTACCAAAGGTCGGATACTCTTCATCTATGTGAGTGACCCCCACTGCACGTGCAAAATACAACAATAAGAGGTGCCAAATTGGTTCCCATTTCAGTAACTCGGTAATTACTGGGGCGATTTCGCTGAAACTTGGCATACAGGTAGGCACCCACCAGGCAATGCATTCCCATGTGTTGCGGTTAGGGTGCTACTGCACGTGCGCACGTGCAGGGGGCGTTTCCAGATCTCGAGAACGGCTGGGCCGATTGCGCTCAAATTTGGTACACGGTTGGGGACCGGTTAGTAGGGTGCCGTGCAAAAGTCATTTTGGACCCCGTTTGCACGTGCGCACGTGCAGAATGGCGCTTCCAGATCTCAGGAACGGCTGGGCCGATTGCGTTCAAATTTGGCACACCGCTAGCGACCGGTTAGAAGGGTGCTTTAAGCCCGTTGGAAGTACCCTATCGCCCTTCCGCACGTGCAGGGCTCACTATCTCGCTCGCTCGTTCTTCGCCCAAAAGGCGTTTTACTGGTAATAAACTACGCCTATGTCTACATCTACGTTTAGCAAAACGTATCAGGAGCAGCATTCTACGGGAACGGTACTTTTGTTTGTGTTAACGTTATTTTCCATCATGTTTAAGCGATGGAATTAACAATTTAGAAGGATAAAAATAGGACTAGAACTCGTAGCTTTACAATGAAATAAAAAATGGCACTATTTTGCCAAAGAATAGAAAAAAAAGAAGCAAATACACTTGGATACCAATATGTTCGCTGTCATTGACTCATTGTCCATCGCTACGAGGATGCCCGGACGATCAATGGCGCGTCCCTGGCGCTCTCTCCCACGGCACCATCCATGTTTTATTCGCTCCCGCCCGGTCGGGCAGCGACGGGTCAACACAGGCTGCGTTCCGGTCCCTGAGGGTGACCTCAGACCGGCCCACTGGCACTGCTGGGGAGTCGGGGGTCTCCTCAGAGCGGGACGTGCAGGCCGCGCCGCGCCCGGTGTCCCGCGGAGGTCACGGGTCACAGGTCACCTGCGGAGGTCACGGGTCACAGGTCACCCGCGGAGGTCAGAGCGCCGAGACAAGATGGCGCTCAGAGGGATCCGGCGACTGCTGGTGCTGTCACTCCTGGGACTGCAGGCGGCACATCTGACAGGTTAGAGGATGCTCTGCGTTTGTATGACACAGACAAGAGGCAACAAGCGGGTCCTGCGTGGCTAGTTTAATTGCTCGGTTTGAAGTTTGAAATTGGCACAGCTTCTGAGCTTTTGTTTCTTTGGCATATCCCTGTCCCTATTCCAGAATGTTTCCTAAAGCTTATGTAAATTGCTATAAAATCATGTCAAACTGAATGTGTGTAGGTATAAGAAGTGATGCCTACAAAAAGTTCTAAATTATTTTGAAGCGGGGAGCCCTGCATAGCCCTCTTTTGAATGCAAATAGAGGCAACAAGTCTGATCGGATCGTTAGAGGCGAGCAACCCAATATAAACTAGGCCATTCGTTTTCAACCATCCGACGCCGCTCCCAGCTCTCTCACGGTTTGGCGGCCCCTCAGGTGTATCGGCCATCCTCGTGGAGCGTCAATGGGTCGCCTCAGACGAGTGGGCCGAGTCGCAGTGCCGCTGTGAGGGCGTCACCTGGCCAGAGAGGCACGTCGACTACGCCGACCCCGTCAAAGTGCTGCCCGAGGGTCTGACCCACATCGATATCGACGAGTTTATCCAGCTGAGACAGCAGTTCCTCGAGGTAATTAGTTAGGCGTGCAAACATGTTGCAAGTATGGGGGTTGGTGGTCACTAGGTAATGGGCACTGAATTGAATATTTGTATCGCATTTATGCGAAAACATCAAGGAAATGGACTTATGGTGGATGGTATTCCTAGTAATATCCCGTAACGACCAACCTCATTTTCTTGTCAATGTAATCAAAGTAACTATAACACACATCCCGCACGGTAAAGAGCAATGCATAGAACTTACAATAATAAGACCGGAATGAAAGATACTCGTATCCTTCAAACTAATTTCTCACTGGCGGTCGCAGCCGCTAGCAAAAGGGGGGGCCAAAGTCACACTCGCGGGACATAACATTTATCCGTCACCGGGAGGGGGGGGGGTGATTTTTGATGTGATGTGATTTTTGGTGATCGGCTAATTTTTTACGTCCACGAGGTGCCGCGCAGTTGGCATTACTTATGCTTCATCCATCTGATTCTTGCGTGAAATCTTTAAGCTCAATTTAAGGCAAAATCACCAGTTCCATTTCCCGTCCCACGGTGCTTCCACCGGTCGGCCCACTGCACCATGACGACGGATCGGTGTAGCATAGGTATACTGGAAGGTCAGGCACGCGGATTCATGACCTTACCACTATAAAACAATTCGGAAAAGTACAGATACCTCTTGCTTTGAACAAGCATGTGAAACCCAGAGAGCATTTTCAGACTATGACATTTACCTACCCATATAAGTAACATACCTAGTTGTGTGGCGGCGGGAGAGAGTGGGTACACCGACCTCTGGAGACCCCCCACAGGTTCCGAGCTTTCAAAATTGGCATCTGAGGGCCGCGCGCGACTCCTGCGGGGCTTCGCAACGCCTCTATTGGGGCTCACTCAACCTGCCTAGTCTTACTGCTAAAAAGACTGGCCCTGAGCCCTAAGGACCCACACCGGCTCATGGGGTCCCGACGTCGAAATATGAGGGAATCTGCGCGGGATCATCAGGACGTAAAGCAATTTCGATCAGGACCAACGTAAGGCTGTGCCGGAGACTGCGTGAGCCCTCTGATCTTCAGAAACCCACCCATGTATCTTTTCACGTAGAGGCCAGTTTAGGGCCCTCAGAGACCAGTACAGGGCCTGCAAACTACAAAGGCCAGTAGTTTGAGACAATCAGTGACCGAGTTAGGCTCTCAGAGGCTAATGTGGGTCATTACAGGCCAACATGGGCCCTCAGAGGTCAGCGTGGGGCCCTAAAAGACCGGCATGAGCCGTCGTTGGACCCCAGAGGCCAGCAGAGGGCCCTCAAAGGCCAAGATGGGCCCTCCTCAGAGGCCAATGCAGGCCCTTAGAGGCCGGCGTCGGGTCTTCAGCAGCCAGTGCGGGGCCCTCATTGGCACCTAAAGGTTCGTCTTGGGACACCACAGACAGAAATAAGGCCACCAGAGACCGGTGTGAGACCCTCAGACGCCGGTTGGGACCCCTGAGGCCGGTCAGGGGCCCTCATAGGCCAGATATGGGGTCTCAGAGGTTGATGTAGGCTCTTAGCGGCCAACGTGGGCGCTTGACCGCCACTGAAGTTCCCTCAGAGGTCAGTGTAGGACGCTCAAAGACCGGTGTGGGAGCTATATTAATAGCTGGGCGTGGGTTTTTTTAGCCTCGTGACGATCGAATAATTGCCAGGGCCCCATACACCTATATGGGGGCCCATTGGTTGTTTGAGGGGGGGGCAAATGATATGATGGCCCCCTTTATTGACCTTTGGGGGGGCATGGCCCT